ATTACTCTTTTAATTTTATTTTAAAGCTTTTTTGGGTGATTAATTTTATTATGAACTTGTTAATCTCAACTAATTTCCCATTTCTTTTTAATAACCAGAGTAAATGACCCTTTTGAACAAGTTTACCACTTCAATATTATAAATCCAATTTCCTAACCCATGGCACAAGAATGGGGAGTAGCAAATCCCACATTACTTTTTTGAAGCAGTAAAAATAAGATTGTTTAATAGATTTTTATTAAGTAAATACTTTGAATAAGTAATATGTGTTTGCGAAATTCATTTAAATAAACATGCACTTCGCCTATTGTAAAACTGTAAAATTTAAGTTCATAGACAAATGTAGAAAAGTTTAAATTCCAAATTTTAAATTATATTATCTGTTGGATTTAAAATTGCATACAAATTTAATTCTTTCTTATTTTTATAATTAAAATAAATATGAATTTTTTGAACAAATTTTAAAATAAAAATGACTAATTTTTAAATAATGCTAAAGCAAATTTTGATGGGAATATAAATTTTTAAAAAAATAAATTCCTTGACCAAAAATGACTGATATTCAATTAACAATAAGTGGTTTGATATCAAAAGATTAATTTTAAAAAATAAATCTTACAACATGCAAGATATTGGCACTGGATGTATCATCATATCGTATCATCCGTAACTTCACCAAAGGACATAGGGAGGACCATCAGAAGGGTCAACCTCAATCTATGGACGAGAAAATTCCTACCCCACCAATCATGAGCTCGAAGCTATTCCATTAATATGCATACATACATATATATATATATATATTATATGTAACATCCCACTGCCTTAAGATCACTTTAGGCATTCTCTGTCATCTACAAATATTAGCACGTAATAATATGTATTTAGTCTTGATTATCTTATTTAATGACTAGTTTATAACTAGTTAATTTAGATGTAGGTAAGTTGACAAAGCATAAACCAGCTTTAAAATGTCTCCTTACCACCCAAAATTGTATGTTATAAATCACATATATAGTGATGAATAGTGAGATTAGCCCCTTAATCTAAAACAACAAAGAAGTCTAAGTCTTTTTTTTTAAAAAATTAATAAACTACGTAATATCCGAATTAATCTTAAAACACAAAACATATTCCACGTATAATTAATATTGTAAATTGGTATTAATAATAAGTCTACATATACGACATTATAAATCTATAAATAACTTATACATAATTAAGATTAACTAAATTAAATATACAAATTTTAAAGTAATAATAGAAGCAAACTATATTAATGTAATGTTAAAAATAAATAATTAAAATTTAGCATGTCTTTTTTTAAAAAAAAAATTATTTTATACGAATTTCTATTACGATCCTATTCATAATATGAATTCAATAATTGTATAAATATGTTATAGATTATATATTTTTAAACATAAAAACATCTATTTACTTAATTTTGTAAAATTTAACTTTGAATATTTTAATATAGTGAAATATATTAACTATTTGTTCAATCATAATTAAAATATTTAGATATCTCTTTTTCATCGAAATAATTAATACGTTGATTAATTGACACATCAAGCACGTCACATTCTTATTAAAGATCATCACATCCGTTTATATTTAGATTATTATAATATTATTTAAATATAATTTATTAAATATCAGCGTTCATGTTGTGCTAAAAAAATAAGAAAAAATATTTATTTATTTAATATAATCCTTCACATTTTTCTTGCAAAATACCTATTTAACTAAGTAAAAAAAAAAAACTCGTTTAATAACCAGAATTAAGATAATATTTTAATTCAAGCAATATAATATTTATTATTTATTTATATCCATTTAACTAAATTAATATTTTTTAATAAAACATAAGCTTCAATAATTTCATGTATTTAGTGCTTCACATAAGTATAGTGGTATGGAAAAAAAAAAAAAAAAACCCCAATAAAGATCGGATAATTTGTAATAAAGAATTTCGTGACAATCCGTAAGCATAATGATATATTTTTTAAAAAATAAAAAGAATAAAATAATTTTAAGAATATAAAGCAGCCACATGATCTAATAATGCAGCGTTAAATATCCCACAAGTTTGACTATAAAAAATAAATTGATTATTCCGTAGGCACACACGTGAAGGCGCTGGCTTCCGTGAATGATTCACGTAGATGGGCCACTTCCCAATCCGACGGTCTAGAAAAGCTGAGACTTAAACTTATCGACCGTACCCAGATGTCTTAGAAACAAAGAAATCGCCATCCAAATCGTATTCAACTTTCATGGGGTTCTATTATATTCTGCACGCTCTTTTATTTTCCTTTTTAGCCCTCGTACTATTTTTTATTTATTTTCTTACAAACCCACCATTTTATTACTTCCATTCATTTTTTAATTATTTTAATATTACCGTGACCGCCTTCTGATTTATTGGGGTTTCTTCTTCCGCTCTTATTTTCCCTCTCACCATCTCATAACTATTCCATATTTAGCTCTGTGGCGTCACAAAGCTCTCCTCGTTTCCCTTGTTATGACTTCTCTCTAGAAGGCGGCGCCTTCCTTCTTCTCACTTCCTCTGCTTCATAATCCTTAAAAAGGTTTGTGTTTCCGCCGTACCCTTCTCTGATCTTCGATTCGATTGAACGACCCTGTTCATCGCGGCCTCTGTTTTGCTCTGTTTTCCAGGTTTTCTTTCAAGGGTTCCTGTATTTCCCCGAGCTGGACAGACTGGCGATTGATAGTCACCATCACCACGACCAGCATAAATTTGGGGTCGTCAAATCTAATCATAAGAAAGTTATGGTATTGTTCTTCACTACATACTCATTGCCCCTATCTCTCATTCTTATTATTATTATTAAAAAAAAAAAAAAAAAAAAAAAAAGGAGTTAAATCGAAAAGTAATTAAGAGGGTTTTTCTCGATAATGTGATTAAATCCTAGGATTAATTAACTTTTGATTAAAATGACATAAGAGTGTTGGACAGGCAAGACTGATTGGGTCTAATCATTGCCTCGTGCATGCTGAATTCTCATGCATTCCGTTTCTCTTATCTTTAATTATGATTCAATTAGATTAAGCCTTTTCCACAAATTAACATTAAACTAAATTGCTTATATTTATATATATATATATATATTTATTATAATTTTTGTAATTATTACTTTATGTTTAACTTTTTCTTTTTTGGAGAAAAATACATTACTACCTTAATTTCAAACCAGCTTTTTAATTAAATAAATCTGATTTGATTTTTTACTTTAAGTTTATTAATTTAAGTAATCATACGCAATGATTGTCCATTAAATTTTTAATTTAAAATACTTTTTAAAATCATTTTTAGAATTAAACTCTATAAGAAAATTACGCGGTGTAGAAAATTTTGTGTTTGCATAACTAGAATAATAATTTATGTGAGTAGTATAATTAGTGACCAAAATTTGTGTAGTCTAATTAAATATTTATTTTTATATAAATACATTTTTTTTAAAAATATTTAAAAAGAAAAGGTGCATGAAAATATATATTTGGGTACAATATCGCAATCCAACAGTGCTTGAATTGTAATTAGTAAAGTGGCGAAGGTTACGACTTTGGCAATCACGCGCACCGCAAGTTCTTCCAAAGGAGGTGGGGCCCACACTCCCTCGTGGGCAGAATTATTACCCACGATTTCTCGCCCCACCATAACTTTTCCTTATTTATTTGCCCTCTTCCCCTCCCTCCCTCCCACCCACACCACCTTCTTCTTCTTCTTCTTCTTCAATTTCTTCTGCAACTTCAGCAGATTTAGATTCTTTTCTCCAAACATAATCCAGAAAAGAAATAAACTTAAGAATGAGGATGATGATAGACCTCGGAAACCAGAGAGGTCCTCTCCACATAATAGACACTGCCACCTCTGTTGAGTGCGGCAGAGAAGTGAGGTTCCGTCGCTCCTTCCGTTCTTTGGTTGAGTGCATGGTCCCATGTTGTGGCTTTAACCCTACTTCCGACGACTCACTCTCCACCGCCACTGAATCCCCCTCTTGGACTACTCGCGGCTCTTCTTCTTCTTCTTCTTCTTCTTCTTCCTCTTCCTCCTCCTCCTCCTCCTCCTCATCATCATCCGCCTTTGTAACCGGAACTTTCTTCGGCTACCGAAAGGGACGGGTAAGCTTCTGTCTCCAAGACGATCCACGAAGCTCTCCTCTCCTTCTTCTCGAATTCGCCGTCCCAACAGCCTACTTGGCCAGAGAGATGCAGTACGGTTTGCTGAGGATCGCTCTTGAATGCGACCGCCAGAAGGAGCGTTCCAGCTCCTGCTCCCTCTTCAACGTTCCTGTATGGTCCATGTACTGCAACGGCAGGAAAGTGGGTTTCGCCATGAGAAGGCAGACTACGGGAAACGACACGGCGGTGCTGAAGATGATGCAGTCTGTCTCTGTTGGCGCTGGTGTGCTGCCTTCCCCTGCTACTAACTCCGAGGAAGATGGAGATCTTATGTACCTGAGAGCCAGTTTCGAGCGAGTCATTGGGTCAGCTGACTCAGAGTCTTTTCACATGCTTAACCCTGTTGGTAGCTCTGGCCAGGAACTCAGTATTTTCCTGCTGAGATCATGACTTATTAGCTGAGTTCAACGTAGATATATATACACTTATATGGCCACTTAATGCTCCGGTCTCTGTTTGTCATTTGTCAATCTATCCTAGGTTTATTTTCATTGTTATTCTCACCCCCTCTTTATGTACCATATTTCTCTATATCATCTGTAAACCACTTCGTATATATAAAACTATTTATATATAATTTTGCCATTTTGTCAAAGCTTTCTCTTTTTCCCAAAAAAAAAAAAAAGAAAAAAAAGAGGCTTCTTCTCCTCTCTCTGATTAATATCCATGTAAACGCAAGCAATTTTCCCTTTTCCTGGATTTAAATTTTTACAAATATCAGTAAATAGAACAATTTGGTGTGCACGAATGAAATTTAATAATTAAATACCCACCTTATAATCTTTTTTTATTTCACAAAAAAAAACCTATGAAGACAAAATAAAACAATTTGGAGCTTCTTTTTGTGCTAAGCTGACATGGGGGGAGAGTAGCGGTTGTTGGTACTTCGGTGTTGAAAGGAATATAATGCACAGCAGCCCATTTAATCATGCGTCTTAAGTAACACTTTTTTTATAATTTTTACTCAAAAAAAATATTATCAGCAGCAAATAAATTGAAGTAATTAAGATGGAATATATGTTTTCTAGTTAATTCTAGTCCAACGATATATAAGTTGGCCAGATTCCTTACGCAGACCCATTTTAAGATCATTATGGTCAATTTTTTTTTATTTGGGATGTATTTGTGAACCAATTCAATGGTATATCCAATTAATTTATTGAAGCTTTTGCTTGTATCTATTAAATCTATTTATAAATTTTTTAAAAAATCGGGTTGGCAATAAAGCCTATAAATAAGCTTTGACGGGAATTTTGTATCTATCATTATTATTATCATTATTTAAAAAAGAGTATTATATTATTAGGTGTAGTGAAAAGGAGAGGTGAGATATAGAATAGGATGGGGGAAGGGACATGGATAGTAACTGATTGACCGTTGTTTTGCCGTTATATGAAATGAGGAATCTGATATTTGTTGGCGCGCATGAAGAGCCAACCCCACACCCGACCACCCGCACGTATCGACCTAGCCCATAACTATTTGGCACCACACCAGGACCCTGTTTATATTGACCCCCTACACCCACCAAACATGGCCTGTCCTCAACCTCAATCTCAGCCTTCCCTTCCATCTCTCTCCCTCTCCCTCTCCCTCTCTCTCTCTCTCCATATATATGTGTGTGTGTGTGCATAGAAGACTGTGTGGGGGGGTTTAATAATTGGGATATATAAATGAATGAGAAGGTATATATGTGTACACATGCATGCATACTGGGTGAGTTCCAGCAGGGTGTGATTGATGTTTTGTGTCTCCCGCAGAAATCAAGGGATGGGAAAGAAAGAAATAAAAAAGGTAAGTAGATTGGATTGACAGATTCGGACATGCACACGAGTGGGCTACTTACCCCACTCCCCCATCCATGCCTTTCTTCCTCATCCATATATGTACACATGTACATATATATATATATATATACACGCCTATACATTAAGCATTCCGGCACCACGATGAGCTTGTAAACACACCCTCTCTCATCTCAACCCTACCCAGAATACCAGAATATATATACATACCTAAACTCGAAGAAAAATTGGGAGCACGCTTCAGAATTCGAACTCGATGGGCCTGCTTTCAGTAGCTTGGGTCCGATCAATAAATAGTGTTTGAAGCCCAATAAGGGAAATACAGACCTACTTTATTTCCTCCAAAAGGGCATTTCAATCCTCATCGTCATTTATCCCTGGTGGGCCCTCCTCTTTCATATTATAATAATTTTATAACTCCATTTTTTTTAACGTTAGATTCAGCGCAGGGACGTTTTAACAGTTTATATTAATTATCATTTAATTCAAAAAAGTATCTAACTAAAATTAATAAATAAATTATATGATAAATCGCCCAATATTTGTACTAAGTCTTTGTGTATTACCGACAAAATATTAAAATACCAATAAATTTTTTCTTTATTTTTGAAGACAAATAATAGAGTTTTGTTTTAAATAATTGTTTTTGTTTTGATAACTAGGCTGATTTGATAGTCAGGTCAATTAAAATTAATTTTTTATTAACCAAATAAATAATTGAAAGAACAAATTATTCCAAATAAAAATAAAAAATTATAATACTTGAAACAATTAGGCTGATGGGCCGATCCAAGCCCGATTTCAGTTTAGACTTTTAAATTATTTCTTGGGGGTGGGTCAGGCCGACAAGACCAAACAGTCTGCCTAGTCAAAACTAAATCAAGTCAACCCACTCTTTAAATATTAGAGTTCGTGGCAAAATATAATTTGATGGCCCGTGTTTCGTATATTTCATATTTAGTACATGTTTATTTTAATAATTTCAATCAATTTTAAAGTAAAATTTTGGTATGAATCTCAAGTAAAAGATTTGGTTAATAACTCCTTTAATTCTTAACTTTAGTTTTGGAAAAAAAAAAAAAAAAATACAACATCATCATCAAAATTAAGACGAACCCATTTGAATAATTAATTTAAGCAAATATTAAAATCTAAACTATATATTAACAAGCAATAATGCATGTACGGGTTAGCAATATAAAGGGTAGTCTATAGATTATAATTTTCTTTTCCGGATGTTTCCCATTTGCTTATTTGTTTGCCAAAAGATGAGTGCGTATATATATATATATATTGGAATGACGCATATATATATATATATGTATAGGACAAAGAACTGAAAAAGAAAAGAACAACATGGGAAAGAGCTATTCTTGTTTTCTTTTTCAATAAAAGCTGTGGTTTAATTATGAAGATATTGTTGATGTGATGATGAAAAAAGTTAAGTGAAAGTCACAAGTCTACATAATAATTTCATAAAAGACAATCGCTTTTTTTATTTATTAACAAAAGTGAGAGAAATAAGAAGCTGGAATCCTGTCATTCTTTTGCTTTTATTATGCATTCTTATTATTGATTATATATCACACACGCATATACATGTACATATACATATACATATATATGTAGGTAGATGGTAACAGCTGTTATTTGATCCATGTTAATTAATTTAATTAATAAACACTGTGTATCATTTAAAAAAAAAAAATTTGTTACTTTAAATTACCTATTTAATTAATATGATTCAGTTAATATACATTATTTTTATATAATCAATTTAATTTTGTTAACATACATATATAGTTAATTAACATATAATTAATAATATTATTTTTACTCTAATTGAGTTAGACTTCAAATATACGATATCTTTAAAACTTAAACCAAATCCACATCACTAATAAAATTTTTTGATAAAATTGCAAGAGAAAATGATATTTACTTCTGATAACAACTTATACGTATTTACAGAGACATTAAATTGCACCATCTACCTATACATATTCTATATTGATGAAAAGTTAAATTATACGGAAAAAGACACTTAAATTAATTATTTTACCAATAATAATATTACGTACATGTGTATGTTTATATAGATTTTAATGCGGCAACTACTACATACAACTTTTAATTAAAGATGTTCAATTTTATTTATAACGAATATAATTTTGAGTGAATATTTTAAGTATCGATAATTATTAACTATTACTGATAGAAAAAGTAAAAACAAAAAATAATAATAATATTAAAGAAATTATTTTCTTACCCAAAAAAAAAAAAAATCAAATAATATGCCCTTAGGAGGGGAACAACAGCTGGAAATGGCTGCTAATACCCCGTAAGCTGAGAAGTAAAAGGAGGAATCAACTCGAGGAGGGGCTCGCGTCTGATTAGCTAGTTGGTGAGGCAATAGCTTACCATGGCAATGATCAGTAGCTGGTTCGAGAGTATGATCAGCCACACTGAGACTGAGATACGACCCAGACTCCTACGGGAGACAGCAGTGGGGAATTTTCCGCAATGGGTGTGAGCCGGTTAATTTTAACATTGTCTATAAGGAAACGACATGATTTGGTTAACCAAATATATAAATTCTACAACAATAAAGAATAATTAAGGAGTAAACAATGTTCGAATTATGATTAGTGATTTTTAATTTCCCCCCTTATTCTCCTAATAAAAAAACTATCATAAATATAATCTAAAATTTTAAATAACAATTAATGCATTAATCTTTACTATTAAAATAATTTGGCACAATAATGAAAATTTAACTCAAGAAATTTATTGAGCATGCAGTCTTACACCCAACACCCAAATTGTAGGGGAAGCAATTTATTAAATTGATTAATAATTTATTTAATAATTTATTTGGGGTGAGGATTTTCACCAAATATAATCCTATCTGAAATTGAGTTGGGATTCAACCAATCAAAATTTTGTGGGACTTAATAAATTGCCAAATATTTATTATTAGATAAAATATATATATATAAACCCCTTTTGTGATTGGAACAATTTAGTAATATATAATAAGAATTTTAAGAAAAAGAGACCCATCATATTATATTTTTTTATTTGTCGTATGATGTGATATGAGGGGATTGAAATATTTTACAAATATTTATATTTGATAAAAAAAAAATACACGTAAATTACTATTCCAAACATGATTATTACTTGCATTCTATTTATTTTTTAGGAAGATTATGTTCACTCTAAAAATATTAAGTACGTATATATTTTGTCTTGGCAAATAATTTTTTTTCTTCTGTTTATTCGTTGGCATTGTTTGTAATGATTGATAATGGTAAATGCTCTATGGATTATTGTACAAGTTACTTGTAATTATTTTAAATACTATAATTAAAGTTCATCTTTTCATTTTGTATATATCCACAAGCAAATTGCTTAAATTTCGCAGGTTTAGCGAATTATTGAAGTGAATATTAATTTACCATTTATTGTTAAGAATGCTATTTTACAGGTGAGATATAGACTATATAATGTATTAAAATAATAATTAGAAAAAATCAATACCGTTAATCTTTATTAAAAAGATTTTAATTAGTACAGAATATATAGTAAACTTACACTGCACATCACGTAAATCTCTGGAGTACATATATTTTATACATAAATACAGCAATACCCAGTAAAAAAGAAATATTTATTGGATTCAGCAATCAATGACAGCACTGCGTCACTCTTCTGGCAAACTTAGTGTGAAAAATAATATACACGCATCGATGCAGACGAACCAAATACTTAATTACTGTGAAGCGAATCAAGAAAAAATAATCATTTGACTCTCACTTCCTCTGCTTCTTTCGTTGATGGGATTGGTGTGATGTAATGCATACAGTGATTTGCATGCGAGAGAGATTAATTATTAATTATTAATAATTAACGGGTTTTGCTCCAGTTGTTTGTGTGGTGGAGTGGATTGGGAATAGCAAAAAGAAACCCATACTTGCTTCACCTTTGAAGAAGACGTAATCATGATCGTTTAACTTTCCCATTTTCCCCGTTCCAAACCAAAAGCTAATGAAGATTCTCTGTTTTTTTATTGGTTTGATTATTGATTATTGTGATGGTGATTAGCACAGAGACAGCACCGGCTTTTTAATTCTCTCTCTCTTCTGCTCATATGACTCACGAATGGTGTGTTTAATGCCACATTCAATCTGTTCTTGGTGGGACGTCCCCACACACAATAGATGTTGTTTGTTTGGGCGTCTTCATTGCTCTTTCGCTATTGTCTGATGGTGGGTCATCTGCTTTTTTCCTCAATTTACTATCTCTGATTGTTTTAGGGATGGGTTCTTTTTTTCTATTTATTTGTTTTTGGGTAAAAAAGACATTAGCGGTTTAGTTGTGATTTCGTTTGGTGAACAATGTTGATTTGGTAATGGGTTGGTTCGTTCTTGATTGTAATTTTCTGGGTAATTTTTTTTGGTGTAGTCAGTTTCTTTCTCCTTTCTCCTTTCTCCTATAAAAAATTGAAGCTTGGGGGTCCAGAAATGGAGTTTCTTTTGTTTCAGGATATCGGAAATTTTGGAGGTCTGAACTGAAATATATTTTCATTTGACTTTTGATCAGCTTAGATTAGAGTTCACACTTTTTAATGCTTCTACTCTACTTTTTTTCGAAGAAGTGGCCTCATATGCCGCAATTTCCTCTGTTTTCTCTTGCATGGTTTGTTGCCTTTCCTATGCTAAGAAAAAGCAATTGATGATGGACAGCTCTAGGTTATTTGTAAGCTAGCAGAAAAGCCACAATGTCAGGTGTCAATGGCCGCTCTTCTTCTTCCTCTTACGCTTCTCCTTCACAGCATAATTCTCCTAGGTAAAGCTTTACCAGAATACAAGCTTTCCCACTGTATTTGGTCCTTGGTTGCTTTGCAGTTAAGCAATTGACTGACTGTTCATTAATTCACTGCTGCTATTTTTGGTTTATTTCAGAGTCCTTGATACTGGGCTTCTTCAAAATATATTCAGCTCATCACCCAGACTCTCCTCCTCCCGCGCGAATCCTGTAAGTACTTGCTAAGTTTATGTTTGCATCTATAGAGTCAATTATTGTTCTTTGCTGTCTCTTTATTTGTTTTTGTTTCTTAAGCTTGTTTCAGGATGTGATGTGGGTATTTTTTTGTAAATCCTGATTCCTAATTGAAGTTCAGATTAGTAAGCATAAATGTAATTTATTCCAAAAAAGACCATGAACTGGATCAAGTTTACTGTTTACCACTTGTCATGTCTGTTGGCATTTTGCCTTCCTCGCAGCTTGGTCTCTAGGAGAATCTAGGTTCAGCCACTAGTTTAAGGATTTTAAGAACCCATCATTACACAAAATTTATTTGAATATGTAAGTTCTTATAAATTAATGAGAACCAACTACTTCTCTGGTCCTGTTAATTGATAAGTGTATGAAAATCTCATTTCATATTACACCGGTAGTCATTCTAAACACGCTCCTTAACACTAGGATGAAAACGCAGATTGAGCGTTACGCCTTTGATTATGATACTATATGAAACAGTCAATGGAGATATAATAAGCACAAGAAAGATCAATTAAAGAGATAGATTGTGAGTTATTCTTTGAGACAATCCAGAACTTCTTAGATGCTTAAATCCTCATAAATTATGGCCTTCAAGAATTAGCTGTAGGGTCTTTTGTCCAACTCTCTCATGATCTCTCACACTTGAAATACAACAAGAACATCTGTTGACAACAAATCTTTACAAATAGCATGAAGTCAGTCAAAGATGGATAGATGTGGAATGAAGTAGAATTTGGACTACTACTTGGTGCGATCCTCTTTATCCCTGTAGCAGAAAGCTATTTTTGGCAAATCTGAGTCTGTTAATCTTCAAGTTTTAGATCATTAAAATACCCTAAGACTACTCTAATGGAATTTCATTTTGCTTTCTATGCCTAAAATTTTCAGATAAACTGCACACCCATTATTTGTTCATCTACTCTTGATCTGGTTAGTGAATACTAAACCATAATTTTCTTTTGAAAAATAAATCAGGATTTAGCATTTACACAGAAAAGGGATTTGACATGCCACATTCTATTGTCTGACTACAGATCGTGCAATTGGAGAGGAGATTGCAGGACCAAGATTCCCTGTACTGGGATTCTAAGAACGCAGTGGGTTGCAGTTCCGCGAAATCTACTCCTTCCAATGCTCCCCAAAGACAAAAGGTTTTTTTTTTCTTTTTTTTTTCTAAATTTTGTTTTGGCCTTAACACTTAATTGTAAGAGACTAAAGAACATAAATGACCATGTTTCTTTTTATCTGGTACCTCAAGGAGTCTTGCATTTGGCTTCTGTATAATTAAGTATGCACACTAGGCAAACATTATGTTTCAAACATCTAGGATTGGATTTACTGATTTGACATTTGGGCCCTGAAATGCAGTCTTCTGCAGACCTGAGGCAAGAGATAGCTATGCTCGAGGATGAAATTGTGCGTTTGGAGCACTATCTTCTCTCACTCTATCGGTCTGCCTTTCAGGAACGCATGCCCTCATTTTCAAATGTTACTGGATCACAGTTATCATTTGAGACATCATCACCGGCATCTGTCATGGCTAATCAAGTATGCTGTGATCTGGAGCCATGTCGGAAGAAAGGTGGCTTTGATTGTCATGTTCAGTCATCCCCGGCTTATGATACAGTCCTTTTAGATGGTCAGAGTTTCTGTGCTGGTTTAAAGAAAACTTCTTCGGGGGTAATATATCTTACTTTGAGTTTGATTTAAGTTTGATTTAAGTTTCAATTTTATGGAATAAGAATGTAAAATGTAATATAAATGGGATAAAGTTTTGATGAAAATAGCATTCTAATTCCAATTGATTTTCATGTCGAATTCAATTTAGTTACTTTTTTAATTCTTCTGTTAATAAGTGGAAATATGAGTCAATTATTGTACAAATGAAGATATGAATTTAGGTGGTTCAATAATGTAACAAATATATAAATTGTGACTAAATCCTGCATTTTAAATAATTAAAATTTAGAAATTGAAAAGGAATAGAAAAAATTTGGACCTAATGCACTGTAGAACCTGACTTTGCATTGATTCATCTATTGCTTATATATTATAGCAATATTCCTTTTTCAAACTATAATGCTGCCTTCATTCATTTACCATGCAGTTCCTATTCAGTTTTTAGTTCTAATTTTTACATTAGTGTTAGTGTGTATAACTAGAACATAATTTCTAGTTTTTGAGTTAATACCACCCTTACCTTAAATTTCTTGGTGGCTTAAATTGAAATTTCTATGTAATTATTATGTTGTCTGCAAAAATTGTGGTTGGTAATGCAAATCTGAATAATCATTTTGCCACGCAGCATTTACAGGGTCGGGAGAGAACTGATTCTGGTCATCGCATCCTTGCTGATTACCTTGGTGCTTCTCACATGCTTAGCGACCTTAGTACTCCAGATAGAATCTCAGAAGAAATTGTGAGATGCATATCGTCTATATACTGCAAGCTCTCTAACACCTCACAAAGCAATGCGGGCATACCAACTTCTCCCATCTCGTCATTTTCTTCCTCGAGCATATTTTCTTCTAATAATCCCTGTGATAGTTGGAGCCCGCTTTGCAGTGAGGATGCTACCATGAATCTACGGTTTAAAGAGTTGAAAGAAGTGAATAGACCCCCTGCTGCAAACATAGAAGTTCTAAAGATATGCATAGACAATGATAATTTCAATTATGCTGCTACTATGCTACAAAATTTCAGGTGCTCAATATTCTATTGACTCCTACATTATTCAGCCATGTTCTACTATCTTAATCTCATTCTGTGAAGATCCAGACATATGCTACTGAGCATCTGGTTGTAAGTGGATTATTATTTATTTCAAGAACTCAAGAAGTTTGAATTTCATGCAGGTCTTTGATTAGGAATCTTGAGCTGGTTGACCCAAGGAAGATGAAGCGTGAAGAGAAGCTTGCATTCTGGATCAACATTCACAATGCCCTGGTGATGCATGTATGGAGTTCATTTTGTCTTCGAAAACATTTTTTCTGTTCTCTTGCATAATCATGCATTATTAGCTATATCTGTTAGCTTATGTCTAATATGGTTTACTTGATGGGTTAAACTGAGCAGGCACATTTAGCATATGGAACTCGTAATCGATCAAAAAGTAACTCAATTTTGAAGGTTAGACGTGCATCATTATTTCTCATTTTGATTTGCTTATTACCATGTTTTGCATAGTGAGTAACTCATTTCAAATCTCAAACTTTCAGGCAGCATACCATGTTGGTGGACATTCTGTTAATGCCTATGTCATCCGGTGCTCCATTTTAGGCATTAGACCAAATAACCCAGCACCGGTATGCCTCATACTTCCAAAATATTTATTGATATTCTGACCTTGCTAATCCCTGTTATCTTCTCTGTCCATTGACAAGATTGATAGCCAGATATTCGATGAGTAGACTATGATTAAAGCTTATAATTATTATTTTTGTTGAAAATAAGAGGGAGGTAACCATGATTAAAGTGATCTAATGCCTTGTTAATAACAAATGCATTGCAGTGGGTACAATCGCTATTTAACCCGGGGAGAAAATTTAAGATAGGGAGCACCAGACACGCATTTGCCTTAGAATACCCGGAACCACTTGTTCATTTTGCCCTCTGTTCTGGTGCCTACTTTGATCCAGCGGTATAAAAGCTTCTTTTAATTATATATATATTCCATTGGCATTTGCATATAATTTTCGTTATTATAGATTCTGTCTTCCATTTGGTTTGCCATTTTCTGAACTGAAATTGCATATTCTGCACGTATTAGGTTCGAGTTTACACAGCAAAGACCATCTTTCAGGATCTCAGACGTGCCAAAGAGGAGTTTATTCAAGCTAATATGTACATCCACAGTGGGACAAAGGTGTTTTTACCTAAGATTATTTACTACTTTTCAAAGGAAATGTCACTCGACATGGCTGGAGTCTTGGAGATGATATCGGAGTGCCTGCCAGACGCACAGAAGAAAGCTTTCAGAAAATGCATAAAGGGTAGGCATGACAAGTGCATTCACTGGTTGCAACAGAATTCAAATTTCCGGTACGTCATCCATGAAAACTTGGCAAGTCAGCGAATCAACTTTTGATCAACTTCAGTAGAGGATAGATGGTGGATTCACTTGGGTGAAGAAGAATTAATTGTATGATAAGGAGTACAGAAATATTAGCAAGAAGAATGTAAACATGTTTTTATCCAGCAGGATGAGCTAGGAATTCTCCTCCATAATGTTTGCTCTTGTGCTTTGTTTGAGAAATTTTTATAGAAATTGGTTTTGAACGAGGAATAAAAGTTTCAAAATGTAATATATTTAGTTTAATTGCTGTCAAGAATTTTAAATTAATTTGGGAAGTTCTATTTTCATTCATGTAAATATTTTATAAGCTTCAATGGATTAAATTGGTTTCCTTTTAATATACAGTTCCTTAAAATTAAATTACCCATTTATTTTCTTCAAAACAAATTCTCTTTGCTACATTTACATAACCATATAATTGAGGTTTTCTTACTACATTTGAAAATGTTATTTGTAGTTTAATTAATATAAACAAGGAAACCTCAAAATAATGCTTTACCAGTTGATTACCATCAAAGTATTATGCAAAAATATAAGAGGATTTATTCTCATCGCCCAAAAAAAAAAAAAAAACCAACAAAGAGAAAACAAAAAAACCATAGTATATAAATAGATTAATTTTTATATAAAAATAATTAACTCGTTCTGAACAAAAGCATATTCCATTACTTCTGCTGCACCCGAAATTTCACGATGATGCAAGTTTTTAGATTTTCTTATTTTTAGAGGTGAAAGATTCAAAACAGCTATTTCTCAAGGTACCGCTCTGTTCTGCGAAATCGATGAAGGTTTGTTGACTAATCAATAAGTAATGGAAATGCCAACCATCTTTCTAGTAATGATGCTTCCATTTCTACCCGTGCAAACCAGCACAAGAACTCCTTCATCGCGAATTTTTAACGCCCAGCTGCTACGTTAACAGTTGACATTCAACAAATGGTATGTTTACCTCACAACTTTCGTTCTTTATTTTGTTGCTTTCTTCTATGATTTTTACATTTCTAGAATGTAGTGATATATATGTATTAAAGTTTAGTATAGTCTCTCGCAAATATCATGTATAAACTATAACATAATTTTTGTTCCTTGCTTCTGATTTGTAAGATGAGTCCAAACCACGAACAGTGTATATCCTTCTTCCTATTGCCAGGGCGTGACTGGTTAAAATTTCTCTCTTCAATTATTTCATACATGGGTAATGTTGGATTTGTAATGAGTTCTCTGTTGATCCTTTAATTTGGTCACCGGGTGTTGTGAAAAATTTCTGTTTTAATCTTTTGCTCTCAAGGTGTTTGACAAAGTGGGTCCGTGGGATTTCTAGTTAGGATAATCAGTTCACTGTTTCTTGCAACGAGAGGGATTAAACGACATTTCCTACTACACATCTCTCGTGGTTTAAGTAATTCTCTGTCATATTGTTGGCGTGATAATATCTTGGCAGTAGATGAAAGAGAGACTGATTTGTAGCCTTTCGTTCGTTTGTGATGTTGGAACAGTTTGTGATTATAGAGAGAACGCAAAGCTGTTGCTTTTGTAGATTACCCGATTATTAGTTGGTCTGATTTTTTTTTTGGTTTTTCTATTTAGTACGATGTTAAAATATAAATGCTGGTTTGATTACTTACCTGCCGAACTGTTGATTATAGTTACAAGTACCAGGAATTAAAACTTTTCACATGAATTGCTTCACCCAAACAAGTCTAGATCTAGCATAACGAAATTTGAAAATTTGTAAGTTCACCATCGAAAAGTTGACATGCAGTATTCAGGGTTATAAGCTAGCTCATCTATGAGACCAAAGAGAATGTAATTATGCACAGGGAAAGAGACTGAAGTATCAAAATTTGTATGATAAACCTGTATACTTGTGAACTGGTGAAGACAAGACATTTACATCTTGCTTCTGCAACTGGTATGTTAATCATCCATGCTTAACTCTGTTATGCTGCTGCTCCAGATTCACTTTGTGATTCTCGTTAGTCGGCAAGGCAAGTTGAGATTGACAAAATGGTATTCACCTTATTCTCAGAAGGAAAGAACTAAGGTAAATTAATCTAATTTTGCAATTTCCTTGATTCTCTACAGAACCTCTTAACTCAGACCTCAAAAAGCCGTTTTTCCTCTGTCCAAGAGGTTATTCCATTACCTGTAACTAAGGTTCTTCAGCTTCAAATTTATTACAATGAATTGACTTCTGATGACTTTCTTTCAAATTCAATGATGTTTTTGTGATAAATATGACAGTTAAGGATATAGTTTTATAATGTGATACTGTTCGAGTCGTCCTGTAATACAATGAACATGTAAAAGTATAAGCAGATCATTATATTCATATTTTCCCATTTCAACTACTTGTGAATTGAAATTTACTTTAACGGGTGTGGGATGGCTGCCTGGCAAGGTAATCAGAGAGCTCAGTGGCATAATACTCAGTCGCGGCCCCAAGCTTTGTAACTTTGTGGAATGGAGAGGACTAAAGGTTGTCTACAGAAGGTATATACATATGACATATGAAAATATCAGCTATGGCACGTTTCATGTTTCACATTTAATGAAACTTAATTAGAGAAGGTAACAGTGTCAGCTATTTGTGTACATAAATGATTAATTTCTTACTTACGAGCAGTAGATCTTGCATTCATGTCCAGATATGCTGGCCTCTACTTTTGCATGTGTGTTGACATGGACGATAACGAGCTGGAGGTTCTTGATATAATTCATCATTATGTTGAGATTTTGGATCGCTATTTTGGTAGCGTGAGTTTCTATCTGTTTTTTGTTAACCGCCTTCATAAAGAATTATTGCAAAGAAAACAAAAAATTTGAGTTGTGAGGAAATTAGCTACTAACCCCATTCTCATCATTGTTAACTATTAGGTCTGTGAGCTGGACTTGATCTTCAATTTCCATAAGGTACACATTTTTCCTAGCTTTTTCTTCTGGTCCTTTTCTGGGCAGGTAAGTATTGCCAAAATGATGGCTTTATGGGGAAACTATCATTTTAACAGAAGAATTATATGTTAAAGTCCAAGGTACCATTACGTATAACTTGATGTACTTTTGTAATCGAGATGATTAATGTTGAACACGTAATCTTACTTGAGTGCAGGCCTATTATTTGCTAGATGAGCTTTTGCTAGCCGGTGAACTTCAGGAATCAAGCAGGAAAACAGTTTTGCGGCTGATAGATGCACAGGTAAAATTGGAACACACAGACCCTAATTTATATTTATGATCTCCATTGAAGACTTCATTGTCATAGAGTACCAAACCACTTATTTTATTGAGACAAATAAATTTGCCAATGAGCACAGTGGGGGTGAAAATGCAGGATTCGCTGGTGGAGATTGCTAAAGAACAGGCCAGTTTAGTAGGCAACATAATTGCTCAGACGACCAAGTAGGAGTGCATTGGCGAAGCAAGGATTAGCTTCTTCACATTCTGCTGGATCCACGCTTGTCATACTCGTAAAACATCAAATTTGGAGATTAATAAATGCATTTCTTTTTCTTTTTTCTCATTTTTTTTTAAATATGTTTAATTTCTCTTGATTATGAAATGTGAGTATTTGATTAAATATTTTTACTGTTTGTATCGTTTTTTTTTCTCTCTCAATTATAAACATGTGAAATCAATAAATTAATAATATTTTAGATTAATTGTATGTTTTTCCTATATATGCATATATATATATATATTTTAAAAATTTTAAAACTGAAAAAAACCATATTTTATAAATTATTTAGACTACAAATAAAAATATTTTATGAAAAAAAATCGATTTTCTTAAAGAAGGTTAGAAGTTAAATTTGATGAAATTCAATATCTATTTAATTTAAACAAACTTTACTGAGGACAAAATGCTTTAATTTTTTAGTTGATTATCACGAGTTTTAAGTTTCTTATTTTTCATATTTTTCTTGTAAAATAAAATAAAATTTATTTACTAATATTATGTTTTAAATAAATTTTTTTATTTTAAAAAAAGATTGTCGGAGTTATTTATAAATACTAGATATAAATTCTATTGAAATAATAATAAAAAATTAATTTCTGTATAAAAGTTTATGTGAATCAAAATAATATGTTCAAATTTCAAGAAATTTTAACCATGGCATATTCTAATTTATAATGCAATTATGGGATCAATTCTAATTAATTTTTAAAATCGTATTTGTTATTTTTTAATTAAGTTAAATATAAATTTATAAATTAATTTTATTAAAATTTATTTATTCCGAACTTAATAAAATAAAACATACTATTTGACAACATTTGAAGTTAGAAAAAAAAGAAGTGTATTTTAGTTCAATAATATGTGAATTATATTTGAAATAAATTTATAATCTAATTTTTATACAAAACAATAAAAATTGTTTTTATACAAAATTAAAATATTTTATTATAACTTTCATTTATTTAATCTAAATTTATCAATAAATCCTAGAAAATTAATGAATTTATTCAAACCCTTTTCCATGTGAAAATTCAAAAAGATTTAAATACTCCAACTGGCTCATATTCACTGTATGCAGTTTTTCTAGTTTCCTTTACCAGAAGAATTTTCCATTTTGGTAGTTGTTATTAATTAATGAATTAATATGTCTTGGAAAATTACAAGACAACCGTTCGTTAACAATCTAGACATTGATTTTGTGGCGAAGGAACTGACTGTTTGTGCGGGAGCCAGAAATAGAGGTTCAGTCCTTCAATCACTTAAGCGGTTTAGGGTTTTGAAACTCGCCTGAAATGAGTAGAAGGGTTTGTATTCTACTTCGTTCGATATTTATTTTGCTTGACAAAGGAAATTTAGCTTTTAGTTCATGTATTTAATCGAAGCAATGTTCATCTATTGATGTGCTTGCATCTTCAGGAAGATGAAGATGAAGAAAATGGGTCTCGTCTGAGACTGTTGGAGGAGTCTGTAGATGCCAATCCCGATGACCCGTCGCTCCACTTGGATCTCGTAATTACTCCGCGATCATTATCATTAACATGCTCACTCTTTTCTTTTGGTTCTTTTTATGCATCTGGCTTTTTTTCTTATTTGGTCTGCAATTCAAGAACGAAAGAAAGAATCGTTTTGAAGTTCCTGCCAGTTCTCTGCTCGAAAGCAAGGATGGAGCATAACGGATGTTTATGTGATGCAGGGGGTATATCTGTGGGAGAAAGGTGGAGAGACAAAGGAGATAAAGGAGAAAGCTGCTGAGCATTTGGTAATATCGGCGAAATTGAACCCACAGAACGCAGCTGCCTTCAAGTATTTGGGACATTACTATTCCCGTCTCTCCCACGATTCGCAGAGGGCTATCAAGTGCTACCAGAGAGCCATCACTCTCAATCCTGATGATTCTGATTCTGGAGTATGCTGTGTGCCTTCTTCCTCTTTCAGTTCTCTTCTTAGTTCTTCTATGTTTAGTGGTCTTATTTGTTTGAAAATGATACACAGGAAGCATTCTGTGACCTGTTGGACCGAGAGGGGAAGGAGAGCTTGGAGTTGGCCGCGTGCCGCGATGCCTCTAACAAGTCACCGAGGGCTTTCTGGGCTTTCCGCAGATTGGGATACCTGCAGGTTCTTTTACCCTTCTCGTGTTTTTTCCCCCCCTCATATTATTGTATTTTCTTCATTACTTTGACCTTAGCTCCGCTGTTCGTTACATAGCTCCATCATAAGAAATGGTCTCAAGCCGTGCAGAGCCTTCAACATGCCATTCGAGGATACCCTACCTCGGCTGATTTATGGGAAGTATGTTTTCTCTGCTCCGTCTTCTCTTCCAGTTGTTACTATGGGTTAGCACTAAAATTACAGTGTCTTCTTTCCGCCCTCATTCTAGGCTCTTGGTCTTGCATACCAGCGACTTGGCATGCTCACTGCTGCTATTAAGGTAATAGATTCCGCGTTCTCTCTTATTTTACGTTCTTCTTCCATGCATTTTTTCTAGTGAGCCTCAGGATTATTCGCCTACTTCAAGTACTTTCCATGCATTTCTTCTAATTTTTAGCTTGTGTCTATGTCATCTCCAAGCACATGATGACTTTTCTTTGGCCGCACATGGGTGAGGGTATTACTTGGCCTTTTTTTGTTTGAGCAATTAACTAAATTAGTACTAGTACATTTTGGTTCTTTGTTTTTTTTTTCGAAATACTAGTAATTGTGTTCGAAACACAGCATCTCATCTTTACATGATCCACTTGTTACACTGTTGAAACAGGCCTATGGTCGAGCTATCGAATTGGATGATGCAAGAATATTTGCACTTGTCGAAAGTGGAAACATATTTTTGATGCTTGGTTCATATAGAAAAGTAAGATTTGATGATAAGTCCCTTCAATTTAGTTGATATATCGATTGCCCTGTTTCATTATTGATATATTATATACAGTGCCATGTTTCCTTTTTTCTCTTATTCCATCCTTTTGCAAATCAATACTTTTCATGTTTGTCATATCTTTTTGTACTAGTAAAGTTCTTATATTATTTTCAAATTCTTATGTCTTCATTTTATAATGATTTCACTTGGTGGGGGTGTTATAGGATGATAGGCTCAATTTGGCTTTGTTGGAAATATTTTAATTTCTGGTTGGAGGAGGGGAGAATGGAAAGAAGTAATAAGAATGAGATTAACAATTGCATAGAAGGAGAATGAGGGGGTTCCAAAATTCTTCTCCTAAATTAAGGAAAGATAGATGGGAAGCAAATGGGATATGTATATATGTACATATCTACTGATGGTAAGTTTATTCTTATGATACTTTTTAAGAAGCTAGACCCTTCCTTTTTACAAGAAAAGATGGTATTAATATCTTTTAGACATTTGAAACTTTTTATTCACTGAGCTTAGTAGTGAAAAGATGGTTGAATAAATTGCAGTTTCCAAATTATTAAAAAAGTAAAAATGAAAAGTAAAATAGAACTTTTCAATCTCCCTCTGTTCCCCAGTTATCTAAATAAGAAAAAAATATTTTACTTTCATTTACATGTTTTTCTTCCAAATAGAGTAACATAATTTATGTTTCATTACTTCTAGTTCTTTCTGCTCCATTACACTGTTTCTCCTCTCCTACGCTCTTGAAAACTGAGTGTCAATTGACTGGTCTTTTCCCTTAAAATTTTGCTTTGAGAGAATGAACAAACTGCTGTCTTACAAACATTTTGGTTATCTTAAATTGCGATTACGTATTTCGGCAATACTTATTGTCACCTTATAATATGAAGTTTATTAATGCTATATCAAAGTATGCAATTCACTTCCATTTTAATATATGTATATTTGGAATGCAAGTGCTAACACTCTCCAGGAACTCCATTGAATGTGCTTGCATTTAGAGGATGTACGTACCAAATTGACTCTTTTTGTCATGTAATGTCCTGTAAGGTTCGGGTGGGTGGTGTATTTAGGTTAGGAGAAATTTGAAGCATGAAGAAGAGGATGAATACTGTAATCTGCTTCGTTGTCTTTCTGATTTTAAGGTGGGAAATATGAAGGACAAAAGAATTTGGAAACTGGACAAGAAAAGTGGCTTTTCGGTGAAATCCTACTACAATTATATTGTCAAAAATGGTGATGATAATGTCAAGGCAGCATTGTTTAAGCAAATCTGGAGGTCAAAAGCTCAATCTAGAATGACTTTTTTCATTTGAGAAGTTGTTAAAGAAAAAATATTGACCATTGATATGTTGATAAGAAAAGGAATTATGATAGTTAATAGGTGTTACATGTGCAAGGCCGATGAAGAATCTTGCAACCACTTGTTACTTCAGTGTCTTATGGTGTACAAAATTTGGGCGTATGTGTATGGCATTATGAGGATGAATTGGGTTATGACGAGCAGTGTTAATGAGGAGTTGTGGGCGTGGATTGGTTTATGTAAAAAGGAAAAAGAATGATTTCTTATTTCGATTTTATTCTGTGGGTTGTTTGGAGGGAGAAGAATGTTAGGGCTTTCAAAGGGTATTGAAACATACATTGTAAATATTAGGGATAAATGGTTTCATATTTTTGTTCCTATTTTGTTATGTCATGACATATTAGATTGAGAATATATTGAGTCTGTCATGGACCACCTGATCGACTTGTAATTTTGTGCTTTCGGGTGGTAACCCCTTGGTACTTTTGTGCATAATTATATTTTTTCTCTTTTATCTCAAAAGAAAATATGTCCTGTAAGGTTCATGATTACGGGAGATGTGATTCGTAAGTGTTTCTCTGGTTTTATGCATCAAGGGATTGGAACTTTTTCAGCAAGCTGTGAAGATCACACCTCAGAATGTGTCTGCACATTATGGGCTTGCTTCTGGACTGCTTGGTTTGTCAAAGGAGTGTATTAATTTGGGTGCATTTAGGTGGGGCGCTTCACTATTAGAGGTTAGTTCTCTTTGAATTTTAAATAGTCTCCAGCAATCTTCTTTTTATAGAATCCAAAAGAATGATTTAATTTTCAGTTCTTGAATGGTTGCAGGATGCATGTACAGTTGCAAGAACGAGTGCTGATCTAGATGGAAATATATCTTGTATTTGGAAATTGCATGGTGATATTCAGGTACCATTAGCTAAATTGTGCTCTTGATCAAAAGAGCATTGTAGTATGGCGTGATCATAGGAGCAATTTGAAGTGTTGCTTGATCTTCAATGGTCCCACCTTCCTCTCTAGGCACACATATGCACACATTAAGAGGAAGCGAAACACACATATGCTCATCCCCAATGGGTGTGCAGTACACATGGTTCCATGTGCCTATCAATGCTCTTGCACATTAAGAGGGAGCTGAAACACATGCTTACATCCAGTCCCCTAGGAGGGAGCACACCACCCACTTAGAGAGATCCAAAACCTTGCACTTGTTTTGCGAGCTGTGATGTTTGCCACATGACTAATTTAGTAATAGAAGTTATCTCTCTCCTGTCTAGCTAATGTATGCAAGATGTCTTCCATGGACGGAGAAGAGCCAGGGTGTAGAACTTGAGGCAGAAACTTTCAGTAACTCTATTCTTACCTGGAAGAGGACCTGCTATTCAGCTGCCATCTCAGCTAGAAAATCTTATCAGCGAGCATTGCACTTGGCCCCTTGGCAAGCTAATATATATACTGATATAGCAATAACTTCAGATCTCATCTCTGTGTTGGATGAAAACTGTAAAAATGATCCAAATTCTTGGTAAGATCCCATTCCATGTGGTCTCTTGTTTTGCTGCTCTTTTTTTTTTTTAATGTGGATTTGCTCTTTTAATTACTGCCTTTTTTTTTATCAGGCAGCTAGCAGAGAAGATGGCTTTGGGGGCTTTGCTACTTGAGGGTGACAACTATGAGTTCTGGGTGGCTTTGGGATGTTTATCTCACCATAGTGCATTGAAACAACATGCTTTGATCAGGGGATTACAGTTGGATGTATCTTTAGCTATTGCTTGGGCATATCTAGGGAAGGTACCATCACATGTTTTCAAAATCTGCCTCTATTTATTTGTTTCGGATTCATCGTTGACTTCTCCAGAAAGATATCTTTGTTAGTTTTCTTGAGTTTGTAATGCCAATTAAAGTTTGTTAGGAAGCACAACTTAGCTGATTATCATCTCTTGATGAAATAGGATCACAGCATCACCTTATTCGAATGCTATTATGTTTTGCCACATTAGTGCTAGTTTGTAATATGGCTTTTGATTTGAATGAATTAACTCGATTCTTCCTTTCTGACCAAATAAACTTACAGGTTAATTATTTCTGATACAAGGTGGAGCACCATTGTTGAGAATAATTTGGGCTTACCTTGGATTTTCTTGGTGTCAGCCTAATTTATTTAATCCCTAAGAATCTAATTTTCAGGAAAACAAACATAAAAAAAGCTTTTAACAATATTATCATTTTTCAGGATGAAATAGAATGCCATTCCTGTAGCATATTACAAATTCAGGTCTTTTGGGAATTTTATATCATAATACCAACTGAAACATTTTCCCTAATATTAATAGGCTGTATGTGTTCGAGCAGGTTCACAGAGAAGAGAATGAATATAAATTGGCAAAGCAAGCATTTGACTGTGCGAGAAGTATAGATCCTTCACTTGCATTACCATGGGCGGGCTCGGCTGATAGTTATGATAGGTGGATTTGTAATTTTACTTGACATAGATTACAATAGCTGTCTTGATGTCATATAATTTTTTTTTCGCAACCTTGTTTTACATTATGATCTACTCCCCAGGGAGCCCACACCAGATGAGGCTTTTGAGAGCTGTTTACGAGCTGTACAAATATTGCCTGTAAGTCCTGTCCTGTTGAATCATAATTCTATATTGTCCAGGTTGGATGAGTATAAATTTTGTGCTGAAGTATTGTATTCGGCTTTTTTGCAGCTTGCAGAGTTTGAAATTGGCCTTGGTAGGCTTGCTTTGCTCTCAGGGAACCTTCATCACCCCAGGTACGAGTACAACTAGGAGAAGAAACCAATCGAGTAGATTTAAGTACTTGACTTCTAAGCTCAGTTTAGTTTACTACATATTTTTAGTTCAGCTTGGAATTTGGTTTCAGCTTTTCTTCGAGTTTAATTCCTATAATGCATATTAAAGCTCAGTTTGGCTTGAGTTAAGCTCGGTACAGACTTTGAATTTGTGCTAGATTATTCTTGAATCAGTCATAGTCCTAGAAATTAATTTTTAAATTAAATTTTGATTTTCTAATTAATAAAATAAAGGCCTATTTTGCTGGGACTCTCTGATTCTTGTGCTATACCGTGTCTGATGCAAAATGCTTAGTGTGTAGGCATGGGATATCTATCCGATGCTTGGTGTGCATGTTGGACACTTAATGATCTATAACTAGAGATTACAATAGATGATAGTGTGAAAATGCTGCAGTAGATTTTAGATTAGAAGTTGAAGAAAAAACACATAAAGGGAAATACATATTCTAAAATGTCTAAAATTTAGTTAATTTTTTTTTAGTAATGAGCACTTTAAATCAGCTATATACTATTAGTTAGTATCATTTCTTTTTTTTTTTAATTAACCTGGAGGCCGTTATAGGAGTCTAACCCTCCGTCACTTAAATCAGCTGAGCTGTGTTGGTTGTATCATTTCTTTTTCATTCAGTGTAAACATGCTTTGCTATCTTTTTATCTATATGACATCACCATAGTTTCCTAAAAGCTTATATTAATTTTATTATTTTTCATATCAAACGAATCCAATTGTCTATATAACAATAAAATTATTATTAGAATAAAAAATTGAATAAAAAAATAACATTACAATATTGCTGTTGAAAGAAATGAAAGTAGGTATAATATTAATGGTAGAAAAATAAGATTAATAGGTAAATTATCATTAATCCTTTCATGATTTGAAAAGAAATGGAAAGTATAATGAGTTTAGCATAGTTATAATAATAAATTATAGTTGATTAAATGCTTTATCTGTTACAATGATAGTACAGGGAAGCAATTGTTCCAATTAAAAGTCAGAAGGATGGTTGTTACAAGAGTAATGGTATTATGGGCTAATCTAGATACACTTGAGCATGTTCACGAGTTTTCAAAGTTTTTTCTAATCAAGCTGAACCCCGACTGGTGATTGTTAACAGGTTTGGTTTAGTGCAAGTCCCCAATTTACCATTAAAAAATTGTTTGCAAGGGGTCATTTTGGGAGTTTAAATACTTTCTGTTCATCGAACTTCAATGTAAATACTTACAATGCTATCACAGGTCTTTGGAGCTATCGAGCATGCGGTGCAGCGTGCTCCTCACTATCCTGAAGCACATAATCTTCATGGGCTAGTTTTTGAGGCAAGATTAAATTATCATGCTGCTATTACTTCGTACCGGCTCGCACGCTGCGTGCTCAGTTTTTCTTTCAGTAATGTCCCTGCTGCAAATTTCCAAGACATATCAATTAATTTGGCCAGAACACTTTGCAAAGTTCGTACCAGAGCTTCTCTTTCTCTCCCCTTCCTTCTCCTATTTTTTTGAGCTCATTTTTAAACATGTGCAGTTCAGCTAAACATTCTGCATAATGTAATATATTTATGTTGCCAATCTTTATCAGATTTTGTTTTTTCTGTGTAGGTAGGGAATGCTGCAGATGCAGTGCGAGAATGTGAAGATTTAAAAAACAAAGGTTTGGATGTCAGTTTATAACAGTTTCTTTGCTTCCAAGCACATTTAAGCAGCAACTTCTGGTTGCCGTGTGTTAGCTGAGTAAAGAGCTGAACTATGACCTGTTTATTTTCATATATTGTATTAGTTATCAAAATTTTGGTTAATTGTCTATCAAAGCATACATTAGAACTGATATTAAAATTGATGTAGACATCTTTAATTAGGTCTTGTTAGGATGTTGTACCTTAATTAGTTTTGAAACGTGACTGATTCTTTTAATTTAGATCATTTTTTTTTTAAATAAAAAGTGTAAAGTATTATCTATAAGGTACCAAAAATGGAGGTACCATTCATGTACAAAACCTCTACAATGAAGTTAGAGCATCAATGACATCTCTAAAATCCCCATCATTAATGATGTCATGAGCAAGCACAATTAACCCAAACAAGTGTATCCATCTATCAATTAATCTATTAGAATTACTCTTTATGCTATCAAAAGCTCTTCCATTCCGCTCTCTCCAAATGACCCAAAAAACAGTCAAAGGGTTATATAAGGTTAGCAATGTTTCTTTTTACATATAAACCATCTATCAATTAATTTAGATCATTTTATTAACAAGCCATTGTAAAAGAGTTACGGCAATGTTCACCGATTGTCGATTCTAACACGTCATCAATTTTTTTTTTATTTCTTAATACGAGTTCAAAAAATAAAATTAAAAAAATGGGACAATTTCTATTAAAAAATGAACAGAAAGAATTTTAGAATAAAATGTGTAATATCAAAAGTTATAATATTATCTCCTGGTAGATAGATTTCAGCAGAAAAGAGTACATTAATGATTTTGTTTGAAAAACTTTGTTTAAGACCACATAATACTGAAAATAATTTACAAATAGGCAACTAATGTTAGTGCATTTATTATTAGTCAGAAGTAGTTTCGTCCTGGCATAGTTTGTACTTTTAGACATACTATAGATTAGAAATTGATTCTTGGATTTGATTTTCTGAATAAGTTGACAACCAGGTGCTAGTGTTTTTTGTCTTTCGTTTTTTCAAGGTATGCTTGGTCCGGAAGGTTTGCAAATATATGCTCTTTCTTTATGGCAACTTGGCAAGCATGATCAGGCCCTCTCTGCCACAAGAAATCTTGCTGCAAGTGTTTCTACATTGAAAGGGACATCTGCAGATGCATCTGTTAGCTTAATCTGTAGACTACTGTACTACATTGCTGGAATGAATTCAGCAATCACTAGCATTCAGAAGATGCCAAAAGAATTTTTTCAGAGTTCAAAAATTAGCTTTATAGTATTGGCCATCCATGCTCTCGATCAAAATGATCAACTTCACTCACTTGTTTGTAGCAATTGTTACATTGATGCATCTCATGAAGAGAGCATTGGAATGCACTACTTGATAGCTCTTGGTGAACTTGTAAGTCCTTTTGTTTTTGGCGTCAGAGTTTTCTGAATGTTAGAAGCTGCTTTTGTGTTATGGGATGTAAGTTTCAGCAGATTAGATGATGTTCATTTGCAGGTTAAACGTGGATCTGGACATTGCCTCGGTTATCATAGCGGAGTTGCTCACCTTAGAAAGGCTCTTCACATTTACCCTAATAGTAATTTGATAAGGTAAATTTTGAACCAGTAACTGGAGTAAGGCAAAATTTCTAAGCTATCCTGGGGATTAGACTTTATTTATGTAGCCCCTATTAACTAGATAGACATTCTTTTACCTGCCTGGGTGCTACCAACTGTTTGTGCAAATGCACTATTTGGCACTATCAGGGTTGTTGAGAATGTCTTTTTTTGGCTAATTTGATAATTTTACAGGATGACGCACATTGTTGTTGATGTTGTTTTTGGTGGTGAGACTTACAGTTACATGAATTATTATATCTTTCTTAATGCTGACAGAAACTTGCTGGAAACAGGAACATCCTCGCTTATCTTTTGTTATCAAGTGAAGAAGTGAAAGATAATCATACTTCTAGTAGGTGCTACACCATAGATGCTTCTTACTATCCATGTAAGGAAGGTCCAAAGTCAGCGTGGGAGGTCTTTGGTACTGGAACAGTTGCTTGCAATGTGAGTGGCAATGGTGATCCAAAGTTTTCTTTCCCAACATGCAGTTGCCAAGGCCTGAATGGACCTGTTGCTGTCCAAGAGCTGCAAAAGTATTTAACATTTCCCTATTGCCTCTATTTCTGTCTCCTTATTCATGATAATTTGTCATGAAACACTTTTTTTCCCTTAAAAAGGCTTGGTCTTTTGCCTCGGAATTCCAAAATCTGTCGTTCGCTAATTCTCTAGAAAATTGTCCTCTTCCTAACTCAGGAGAAATTAAATGAGGAATGCATAGTTTCCACTAAAAATTTATTTTGCTTTCCAAATCTTCTGCTGTTCTTCTTGGAATTTTCTCATATGATTCCTTCACTAATCATTTTTGGCTGTTTCAATTTTTAGATGCTTACGCCGAGAACCTTGGAACAATAATGCGAGATTCTTGCTTATACTTGGTTTGTTTCAGAAGGCACGTGAACAGAGATTTCCACAACATCTCTGTAGGATGCTTGACCGGCTAATATCTGTGGCTCTGTCCGATGAAATTTATTCCAAAAAAGATACATCATATCAATATCGAAGTTTTCAGCTTCTGCTTTGTGCCTCAGAGATGAGTTTGCAATGCAGGAATGTCCTAGACTGTATCAACCATGCTAAAACTGCTTCCACATTTTCACTTCCTGATAGCTACCTGTTTTTCGCACATTTGCAATTATGTCGTGCCTATGCCATAGAAGGTGACTTTAGAAACCTTCAGGAAGAATATGAAAAATGCTTGCATCTTAAGACATCTTACCACATTGGCTGGATAAGTCTAAAACTAGTTGGATCTCAATATGGTGTCCAAGCTGATCGGAGTATCTTAGAGTTGTACTTTCAGGAATGCTCAACAGAGGGCAAAAGTTCACCGAGTATGTGGATGGCTGTTTTTAATTTAGTGCTGGGTTTGGTTTCCATATGGAACCAAGACTTTCTTTCTGCAGAAGAGCTTCTTGCACAAGCTTGTTTGATGGCTGGTTCTGAGAGCTGTCTTCTTCTGTGTCATGGTACCTATCAATTCATTAACCATGTTTCTTGGGACTGTTACCATGCATGAAGCATTTTTTTAGCCAAGATTGTATTAGTAAATGTTTCACTAAATTTAAATAACATATTCTGAAGCTCAAGGAGAAATGTTCTTTTTTGTTCAATTACTTTTCACATATTGTTGTTTCTGGTAGCATTCCTTTTCATGACTGATGTTTGTCCTCTGAAGCAGTTGCTTCATTAGTTTAGAACTTAGGTTCATAGAGCCGATAATAAGGGAGTAACTATGTTGAAAAAGTAGTTTAACATTGACGAATTTGCAATAGGGAAAGGATGCTGAGTGCTGGCCACTTTTCTTTTCAGTTTAATATCAAGTCTCTCAATCATACCTATTCTATCTTTTATCTCAAAAAAAAAAGTCTCTCAATCATACCCATTTCCATTTTCTCTCTTGACTTAAATTCATCATTGATGGTCCAGGTGCCATATGTATGGAACTTGCACGGCAGTATTGTGATTCACAATTCCTGTCACGGGCTATAAGGAGTCTTAACAAAGCTCAAGTTCATTCCACTGTTCCCCTGCCTATTGCCTCAGCACTGTTGGCTCAAGCAGAAGGAAGTCTCAAATCCAGAGAAAAATGGGAAAAAAACCTCCGTCTTGAATGGTTTTCCTGGCCACCAGGTTTGACTTTATTATCATGTGTGCATGTGTGTCTTAATCCATTTAAAGTATTTGTATCTGAAACCATATGTTAATCAATCTACTACCTCTAGGAACAGGAGCAAGAGGCAGTTACTTCCAGAAGTTTTGGGCAAAAGAAATCTGATTAAAAATTATGCTTCATTCAAAATATTACAATATTTTCTCATTCAGAGGAATAATTAGTTGGAAATTTCACTCAACAACCCAATAGTTGGTTCAGTGTGTTAGATAAGAAATTTATAGGCGGTTGTCTGAATTATCAATATTTGGAGTGTCAACGGAGATGGTTGTTTGTTGATAGATCTCACTTATGACACTGAGATGATGTCTGCCCAGTAGACACAAATAGTTCCTTTATTTTGGGTTCAGTTGTTGTTACCATATAAAATAGACAATCAATCAATAAATAAGTAATAAGTTGTTTGAATACTTTCCCAGAAATGAGGCCAGCGGAACTCTTTTTTCAAATGCATTTGCTTGCACGGCAGTTGAAAGATGAAGCCAAATGTACATCTACCGTGGAGTCTTGGCAGAGCCCGGAGAAATGGGTTATTCGCGCAATCCATACAAATCCTTCTTGTTCAAGGTATTGGAAGATCTTGCAAAAGCTCGTGCAGTGATTGGAAACTCAAAGTATGTAAATTTCTATGAACTTTATTGAATTGTTTTTGCCTTTTTATTTTCTGGACTATATAATTTGTTTGACCTATTTGATGAATAGTATTGACATGCAGGAGGAAACTCTTAGGAGATAATCTTGCCCCACTGGTTTCAGTCTGTATCGTGTGACATCATATGATGTGGAGCTCCTGTAATCTACTTCCTAGTCTGATTTCTTAGGACTTTTACTGATTTCCTGGGTCTTGTGGAGTTCAATGGAATCTTTTTCTCTACAAAAGATTGTAAACAATTTCAGTGCCCTCGTGGCCAAGTGGGGGCTTTTGCTTGGCTTACTGCTGTTTAAAGTAAATCGGGTATAGTAAAAAATAATTTCAATTCTTTATTTTTGTAATTTATGCATGGGTGTACATACAAAATATGGACTCTTTCTGTAGGTCCAATTTTAAAATTTAACTTATTTACTATTGCTGGTCAAAAATTAAAAGTCACGATTCTCAAAAATTATTTTGTTCCGTTCAATTTTTCTTGGATCAATCTATTTTCTAGTTGTCAATTATTTTGCTTTGTTTCAATGGAAAATGTTGCAGAAGTAAGGTATTCAAATTGAAATAAAAGCGGACCTGTTACTCTTAATTATTTAGCTTACTGAAATAAATTTTTATTAAAATTTTTCCAAATCCTTGCAATAGCAACAAGACATTTGAACTTAGTGAAATGAAATACACTGCACCATATCTGCTAGTGTAATTCATTGATAAATTCAATAAATTTGAACTAAAATATTTTCTAATCGTTCTTCCCCTCAAAAGTTTTCTAATCAAGCAAGAAGATATATTGCCTGTCATATATATATATATGTATGAGATTATAGTAGTAGCAGAAAAGTTTCTGAATTTATTGCATGTTCTGGGATTATTAACTGTTGATAACACGATGGAGAGTGAGGATTAAATATTTCTCTATTAACAAAATTTCCATCTTTTCTTTCAAAAAGCTTTGGTATGCGATGGAGAGTGTAATTGGCGATGAGTGGGAGTATCGCTCTACCTGCCACTGGATTGAGAGGTAGAACGGTTGAACTCGTCAGATGGATCCCAGTCCAGTGACGACGACAGAATCTTGGACAGAGTCATGAGAATTTCGGCCATTGAAGGCCGAAGATTAAGATCTTGAGAAACACATCTTTTAGCCAGATGAGCCATGGAGAAAGCCAAGTCCAAAGGGTATTCAGATCCCAAACAAGGATCAATAAACCCTTTTAGTTTCTCTCTCACATTGTCTCCTTGGAAAACCCTGGTTATGGATGTATATAACAACTCTTCTCCTTCTTCCTTTTTCTTCGTCGCAGCTTCTTTCCCTGATAAAAGCTCCAACATGATAACCCCAAAAGCAAACACGTCGAGTTTAGGGGTAATCACTCCATTCTCGATGTACTCAGGCGCCATGTAACCTTGAGTTCCAACTACATGTCTTGTCAGCTGAAGATTTCCTTCTCCATTCGTTTCTAAACTTCTGGCTAAGCCGAAGTTGGATATCTTGGCTCTCAAGTTTGAATCCAAAAGGATGTTGCTGGACTTCAAGTTTTTATGAATGTGAGATGGGTTGATGTAGTTCTGTACGTAATTGAGGGCATCAGCTATATCACGGGCAATCTGAACTCTCAGCTTCCATGACAGAGTAAAGGAGGTCTCATGCTTTTGGGAATGAAGCCAATCGGAGAGAGAGCCATTTTCTGCATACTCGTAAACGAGGTAGGTATTTCCATCATGGACGCAGAGCCCCGAAAGTCGGACAATGTTCGAGTGATTTATCTTTTTCAGTAGATTAATTTCACCAGAGACATCACCTTTCACCACCTTCACGGCTGCATAATCTCCCATAAACGATCCCCGGTAAACGGAGCCTTTGACTCTGTTGGATTCACTAAAATTTCCGGTGGCACTCCGCAAGTCCTCGAATTTGTAGAGGGTCAAGGATTCAATAGCATATCGAACCCCGTGAGAAGACAGAGAAACAGACCAGGATTTGTTCTGTTCGGGAAGAGCCGAATACTCGGAAGACTCAGATGGCTTCTTCTTTGTTGGTGGAGGTGGCTTGAACCGGCGTCTGTACAAACAGAAAACTAGCCCACAAAGGGAAAGAAGGAGAAAGCTACCAACTCCAAGGCCGACGCCCACGAAAACCCATTTGTTAGAAGAGGTGGAGTCTGAAATTGGGCCGGCTGGTGATTGTGGAGGCTCGGCGGGAGGCGGAGCGGGCACCTCTGTTTGAATCTTGGTTGGCTCTGTGGTTAGGGGAACCAGGAGAGGTGTGAAGGGGAAAATCAAACCTTCGGAGGTGAGTTTGTTGGCATCCAACAAGCTCGTTTCATTGACGCGAAAGGTATCAGCAATGGCGGAAATAGTATCACCGATAGTGACCATGTAGGTGAGCAGGTACTTGACACCGTCGGCAGTCTGGTTGGAAGTGGGGCAAGCACACCTGAGTGGTACCTTAATCAACATACCAACTTCGAGATCTAGGAAATTAACAGGGTTTTGATCCATAAGGGCCTGGCAGGTGGAGAGCCCCTGGTATGTGTCGTTGGCAATGGAGAAATAAGTCTCTGCATCTGTTTGACGCGTGTAGGTGGCGTTGTGCTGGTAATAAGGACCGGCGGCGGAGCAATTGACGGGAACAACCAGTTGGTCATCGGCGGGAATAATAGCCGTGAGGAGGGAGATGTTGTTGATGGAGGCGATTTGGTCGGGCACAGCGTTGAGCAGGAAGCCTATGGAGATGGGCGTGGTGTAGGGTTGGCCGGAGCGGAAGGTGATGTAAGATTGACATGAAGACTGTGGGCCATTTTTCAAGTAGCCTTTGGTTGTGGAGTTGAAGTTTTTGTTTTGACAGTCTAGCTGGTGGTTCGCCACGTACTCCTGTTGGGCTTGGACTGGTTCAAGGACAGATTGCAGCGTCGCTGCAAGTAAGAGGAAAATATACAGCTCTGAAAATCCAGCTATCGCCATGGACGAGTGGGTTCTTAGTTTTGTTGATGGGGATGAGGTTCCAGAAAAGTAGATATAAGAAACAGAGTTGACTGTTGAAAGAGAAAGGATTACGCGAGTGGGCTCAACAGGCATTTTCTGGCGTCGCCATTGATGATGTATTTATTTCCACACTTGATAAAAATTCCACGCGGCTTTGATTGACTTCTTAGGCTTTACCTGGTCCTGTTACTTGGCTTCTAGGTTGGACCTGACCTGAATTTCCGTGTCCTTGGGGCTTTCTGCTGGGAAACATAATGAGATTAAGTTAAATCCGATCGTTTAAATTTTTTTTTATGGTGACATGATTTAATTAATTTAATTCACGTTAATAAACAAATTGTAAAATTAAACCAATTAGAACTGAAAAATTATACCATATCACATTTTTATATTATATCAAATTGCAGTTTATAACTTTTAGTTATATTAATATACACCTTAAAACTATTAATAGAACTAAAGATTTATGAATTTATTGCAAAAATAAAAAAAAGTTCCTCCCAATTGTGGAAACTGCGTCTATTTCCTCTAGAACCTTGGACTCTCTCTCCAAACAAAGTGCCTGTCAAAACCAATCCCTCCCAGTCACTAGTCAAGGATAATCATAATTTCCCATGTAATTTCACCATCAATTAGTCAAGCTTGCATTTATGGAGGCATACTCCAACCACTGTTATACCCACGTAAAGGAGTCCTATGAAAGCTAGAACCAACACTGCAAAAATACAAATAAAAAGATTAGGAAAGTAAACCGTAAAAAAAAAATATAAAAACGTGATATAAAGAATAGTAATCCTGTAGTTGAGTTCATCAGAAGATAATATAGCATGAACATATAATCAAATGATCAAATGCTAGATATGTATCAATCCTGCAAATAACAAATTATCTTCCTGGGCAAAAGTATGACATCTATATCTATCTAGAGTTTCATTATCAAGGACAGAGAAAAATAAGTTCAGTCAGAACTTACCATCTTGCAGTCTTTTGAGATTCATATAACATAAGATATACAACTAATAAAGAGGCTGCAAGTATGAGAAATAACATACCGGTCACAACAAAGTAAAATAAAATGGTCAGGCGATATCTGACGATAGGAGGAAGAGTAACTTCAAGAGAGCAGTGTCTCTGATATTTGCCAATGCCAACTGTAGTTGGTGAAGTTGCATTCCGCACTTGCATGAGTTCTGTTAATGAAATGTTTACACCTACTGCTGGTAATCCATTCGAATCCCTCACTTCAATTTTGAGAGTAACTGGAGTTGCATTCCAATCTATCTCTATTGATCCAAAATTTGGTTGGCCTGCAGAAAATTGCCACTTGGAAGATCATCTTACGAAGATCTCGTGAAATCTTCTGGTGAGAAATTTCACAAATGGAAGAGATATAGAAATACCATATGTGCATGATCTGTATCTGCAATTTTTGTTCGTAACTCTCATTGTATTGGGCGTCAACCAAGCCAAAAATCTAACAATGAAATGTATAGATGACGGTACTATCTTCTCAATGGCTTGTGTAAGACCACTTGAGGTAATGTCATACAATGGGTATCTAGCACCACAATCATATCTTGTAATTTCTCCGAAATGAACATCTCCGCTGACAAAAAAAACTCCATCTCTCTGAAAATATAAATATTAACGCTACATGACAAATCAATACTCCAATTCAGAACCAAAAGGAAACAGGAAAAGCAATATCATCAAGAATGGAGTAATTTAATTTTACTAGAAGCACATGGACATTCATCAATGATAATCACCTTAATGTCTGCTATCAATTTGAAAAGTCGATCCCTCTCCTTGGGAAAACGTCCCCAAGACTCCATATAGAACAGTGGACCAGTACAAGCTGAAAGATTTGATATTACCTAGATGATTATGAAAGATAATTGTTTAAGTTAATTATGCCAAGCATAAAAATGCCAAAAACTTAATAGAACCAGCAAAAACAAATAAAAATTTCCTGAAGCCCGAGGAATTTAAAAAAGACGGATACAATATAAAACATTCATTGTTGAAATTGTCATCACCAGGCTTGCCCAACACAATTTAGGATCATAAGATTTCTCCTAGCCATTGACAATATCATGTTCATCAATTATACGGCTAGGCAAAGTAACATCAGCCAGAGTTTTAAAAGTACAGAAGGTAATTTTGGAAAATTTGCAATAACATTTTCCACCGAGGTAGAGGTTTGGACAGGGCTGCATAAAAAAGGTAAGTAAAACACAAAAGCCAAAAGCGTGACAATCAATCGAAGGACAGAAAAGCAAGATAGACGATTCTGATATACCTGAACTGAGGATCCAATTATAGTAATGGCCGAGGGTGGACCCCTCAACTCTTTTTCTAACCATGTCCACTGCGAACTCCCCAAGATACTCCCATCGCTGCCCAAAGGATCTCTATGGTATCTTGTATCTAAAAGTATAATCTGGAAACATAAATTGCTAACAATTATATAGAAGATAGACAGAGAAGTTATTGTACTCATAGCAACAGTTTTTAACCAGCTGGACTGAAGAAGAAAGTGAGGTTAAAACGAAAATACCTTAACTTGCCTGCCCACAGGACCAAAAGTATAGGAGGCATAAACTCCAGCCTGCTTTCTCCTGCAAAATCGAGAAGACATGATCAAGAATGCAAGCAGAGGGATTTTTATAGAACGTTACATTAGATTGAATACACTGCAAACATCAAGAAATCAATACAAGAAAATTGCTGCTTTGCTCACCGTGGACTATGTTGAGGTTCATCTAAGAAATCAAGCAGAAGCCTCTGGTTAGTGATTTTGGCGGCAAATTCTTTGCCCGCATCATTCAATCCATAATCATGATCATCCCACGTACCAATCACCTCAATTTTGAACAATGGAATACATCACAGATTCAGGAGCTGAACCACTAAAAGGAGACAGACCCAGAGAGTGACGTACCTTGGCATTCTCTCGAAGACGAGAATATCCAGGACTAGTCTTAGCCCTTTTGTATTTAGACTCCATTTCTTCCTCAGAAGAAGGGATGAACCTATGAGCATTCTTCCAAGGCCCGATGGTCCTCTCCTTCCCAAAAAACTTAAAGGGTCGCCTAATATCTCCATAGATGTTGTCACCCAACCAAATGAACACTTGGGGCTCAAACTTGATTATGGCTTTCCAGATAGGCTGTTTACAAACAAGCTTGACTTAACCCTTTTTCAGTCGTAAATTAGGATTGCACAACAAGAAGAGGAGAAAAGAATGGAAACCTGGGGATAGTTTTGGTTAGCACAAGATCCAAATGCAATACGGGTGATCAGACCATTGTCGTCTCCCCATGTTTTGGAAGTGGAACTGGAGCCAGCGTCTCCCACCGCCATAGCCCCCAACATCACCACGAACCACCAATCCCACCAATTTCCTTCCATGACGCTCGACAAGTGTTTGATTATTTGATATTGGAATCCAGATCCACAAAGAACGCTATATATATTATCCTATCTGCCAATTCGATAGAGAAAGAAAAGGCGTGGTATTAGCAATTGGTGAGGAGTTACGAAGAACATAATTGTAGACAGATAGATAGAGGAGGCATATTTAGCGAGTGTTTTAAACCTTGAAATTAGCGACAAGAAAGCAGCCACGGAGTGAGACAGAATCAGAGAAAAAGAACCCAGTCAAGACAAGTTTGGGTGGTTGCAGTAGACGAAAGAAACAAAAACGAAACATAAACAAAGTTCTGTAATAGATTATTGTTTTGGCGTCGGCTTCTGGTTTCGGGTTATTATAAGATCAGCCGTCGGTTAGCAAGTTAACCGGACCCAGTGCCTCATCGTACCCTGGACTCTTTTATTGTTGCCACTTGGTACCAATTCCGACATTCCTGTCTCTGTCTGGAAATGAATTGGATTCATATTTTTGTTGAGTGAAATCAATGAAAATTATTATTTCCTTTGAAAATTAACTTTTTAAAATTTTAAATATGAATTTTTAAAAAAATTAAAAAAAAAATCTTCCAATTTGTTCAGAAATTAATTAATAAATTTGAGAATTCAATATTACTCAATCCAACAAAGATACAAATCAGAGAATGAATTTTCTGAAAATGTAACATAGAATCAGGGAGAATTTGTTGCGCTGGTGATGCCAGGCCATAGATAATTACACCGTGTCATGGTGAGAAAACTAAAAAATCCCTGTTGTTTGGTCTTCTGCTATGGAGCAATCCAGCCATGTCTGCTGCATGTGTAACCATGTGAACCTGCCAGGTGAATTCCCCTGCTTAAACACATGACAGAAGAATATATATTATAAAATAGTTTACCATATTCACATATTTCTCCTCCATTCAAGCGGTAAACTATTGAGAGGAATTCATCTAAATGCATAAAGAGCACCAAAGGTCCAAACTCACCATTGAACTGACAAGCAGCGTAGCCAGGCAGCATCGGCGCTCTTCACCTGACAAAATATTTAACAATTCATACAAACAGCATTTAACAATTGATTACGATATAGGTACAGATTCACGCGAGTTCAGTAACTGAATGAAAAGCAGAAATTCACACATATTTTATTACGGTGCAGGTAAGGTGACAAATAGACAATATATGCTTGTTTGAGTAGGAAAAGGGACAAAGAAACTATGATGCAGATATTTTTTTGTAAAAAGAAAAGAAAATTTTAAAATAAGTGAAGTTTGTACTTCAAACATCTTATGTGCAAATTTTACATCCTAAATACAGCTTCGTGAACCATAGACATTCTACATGACAAAGCTTCAGGCAAGCAGCTTTTTCATTAATCAAGCCATCTGATCTATCATGAGGCTTTTTTCCAAGCACCAGCTAACCAATTTATGGTAAATAGTGAAGCCTGTTCTCCTATATCCTTTTCCTTTTTCAATACTGACCTGTTGTTTGTCTGTCTGATTTGATGATTTGCATAGATTTTAGCAATCACTCAACTTATATACTCCAAAAAACCAAAATCTATTGCAAGTGGTTTCCGTTGAAATTTGAAAGTTAAGCAACTCTGGAATGGTCGTTGAGAAAATTGGCTGCTACTGGTCATCTAAATGGGTTATTTCTTTCCTACAGAGTGGTCTCCGTGGTTTCAGGCAAATAGTGATTTGCAGATATTACAATCCTTCCATCCGTCATTTCTCCATAATATATCAAGTTCTATACAATTTCAACCACGTTTCCTACAGCTTCACAAAAACTGAGAGACAATACAAATAGGGAAAATTCAAAGTTCTTTGAGATTGAATCATATGATATCACCCTCAAACGGACCTACATTACTTATTTCCCGTGATATCAAGCTCAGACCTTTTGAGTTCCAACTGCTCCCTTTTTATATTGAAATTAAAACTCAAAATAAGATGTTGTGAACATGCTCAATTCATGCTTGAAGCTAAATAGGCTTGTACTTGAGGGAACATGTCAAAGTCCATAGATAATTAAGTTGGAAAGTTTGTTAAGTTAGAATTTTCAAAAATTAGTCAATGTACAAGAAAGATGATGGCATTTTTATTAGCTTCTAGTCAGTGCAACCATGTGAAGATAAAAGTCAAACAAGGGTCACTTCACAGATAGAAGGTCCTATAACTTCTGGTTAAGTCAATGTTTAAAGAAGACCAGGCTTGACATGTAAAGAGAAAGCATAAAAGTCAAATCCATTAATAAGGAAATAGAGTAGAGAACAACAGAATAGATTATGGTCTAAATAATTTATCATATGGAGAAAAGAAATACTGGTGGACTGAATAACCTCACCACATATCTCCCACTTGTCAAACTTCAAAAGCCATGTGTCTGAACCAATTGGTGCACTGGAGATTCTATCCACCCAAATATAGTATTGTTTTCCCTGCTTGTCCCCATGAAATGTTGACATGATATCTATACACTGGTGCATATGTCGCTCAATGCCAGAAGGATGAACAAAAGCAGCTGATGGATGCTGGGGAGAAAAGAGAACAAAGAAATAAGATGTTAAACTTCGGTACTTCCCCTAAAATTGGGGAAGAAAAAAAAGGATATAAAGCATAGAGAGTAGAGGTATAAGGACCCTTCACCACTAACTAGATAGAGTAGATCCAAGGAACCAATATATTTACAAATTGATATGGTAAATATTTATAAATCAAAAAAAAGTAACAGACAGAAATTTGACAATTATTCCCACGTTTTTCTTTATAGTGAGGGACGAAAAAGCAAAGGTATTCCACATAATATGTCCATTCACTGGAAACTCATTCTACATCTGAAGGAAACCCTAGTAGCAGGTTAAGGCAGACAAGATATTATTTCCAAAAGGAGAAAATATAGTTCATGGAGAAGAAAGCAAAAGTGCCACTCACACAGACTGATTTTAAGTTTTGTATATACTGCTCAGACTTCTCAACTTCTGCACGGCGCCATCTCTCATAAAACAAATAAAAGTTCACCACTTCGTGACCAGGATTTAGATTTTCTCTTTCAGATTTCCAAATGTCAGTAATATCCCTTGGAGATAAACTTGGACCCAGACTAAATTTACCAATGGCTTCTATTATCCCAGCTCCACATCTCTCAGTTGCATGAATTATGTTGGGATTATCTTTTAAATTCTCTTCATGCCACTGCAATAATTCTTCCTTTGCATTGCTGACCTAAAATTTTAAAGTTCAAGGAACATTAAACACCATAAATGTCTAATCTGTAAGCATGAAAATGACAGTAAATAACTTGGTGGTAAAAATTATATGAATAATGGAACTCTAACCATCACACCATATGCTTCAGGAATGGTGAATAGATCTGCATCATTTCCAGAGTCACCACAAACAAGAACATTAATAGGAATCTTTCCATCAGCTTTGAACTTTTCAAGCAAATATGCCAGAGCCTGTCCTTTGCCGGCACCTTCTGGTAACACATCCAAAGCTGTCCCACTGCTATAAATCAATTTCACATTTAACTGGCCAAGAGCAACTCATATTTAAAAGACAGTGATGAAAACAATGAGAAAATTTTTGGAAATACAAGTAACAAAAACATAAGGCATATCTTATGTATGCCATAGCATACAACTAAGACTTTCAATTGACCAAATCAGAGTAATTATTTTCAGATCAACAAATAAAATCTTACTCCGCGTTTCTCTAGACGTTCAGAGAGAACCTCCATCACAGCAACAGCCTTATCTGGCTCCACAAAGAAACTGACTTTGCGTGGCCGTTGTGCTGTTTCAGACTGCAATAAACTTGAAATAAGTATATAAACTAAATCTGTTACTACTAAGAACCAACAGAAACTGTGCCTTTCGATAGACTGTAATGTTTATATAAAAGATACCCAAACACATTTAAGATATATAGACAAATCACAATTCTTTAATAGACGTGATTATCAATTACAGCAGCCCAAAGTTAAACTAGCCTACCTAGCATACCTGTGGAATAAGTTCTGGAAACTTGGCTGTTTCCTCTGTAACCATGTCCCTGTCCCACTTATGTTCCAAACATTCTTTCCAGAAATTATCTGTCACCATTGATTCACCATAAGCAATCTCAGTGCCCACAGAAGTTATGACTATATCTGGAGTTAATAGTGGCTTCCTTCGCCTTAATCTTTTGTAGCTTGTAAGTGATCTTCCAGTGGAGAACACCAATAGAGAATCATGACGGTAATATGCTTCCCATAGTGCATTAAACCTAAGAAGAGAGAGGTTCCCTGGATCATCATGATCTACCTACATCCATATAATTGCTTTCCAATTAGAAGCCTGAAAGATACATTAAATTCACTAGGCTACTAACAAAATTGTACCATGGTGCAATCAAGATCTGAAACTATCATGAGGCGAGCAGATCCATTGAGCCGATCCATATTTCTTTCATACCCTAAACTCGGTCAAACAAAAAGAAAAACTTTCAAGTTGGGAGAAAAAGCAATAACCCCAATAATGACCTCATCAGATAAATTGATGTGAAGCGACAATCGGTGAGTATGGAAATATATACAAAAAATATTGATTATGGCAATTTACAGCGATAATATGGTAATCACAAATCACAATGATTGTAAATAAGAGGATAAGCTATCCTTGGCCATAATCAATAGGCATATATGGTTATGGTGGGATTAAAACATATTAGTGAGATGTCAATCATAAATAATGGTTAATGCTCACGAGTTATAACGCAGATATGATTGACAACGATTGTAATTTTTAAGAGATGCAAGACAGGCACGATTTCAGAAGCAAAATCAAGCCATCCAAGTACTGGACTGTACAACTTGGAAACAGAAGTTCCTCAATTCAAATTTCGTAGTGAAGCCTTCATGATTTAAATCTCTATTTTAACAGAGGCTCTTGCATAACAATCCACACGTCAAAATCAAAGGAAGGAACCACGTTGTTCTTACTATTTAATTAACGCGAAATCAAGTCCTTCCCTCTAAAATCCCAAATCAAAACCTGAAGCTTAGTAGGTCATATCCTCATTCGTAGAAAGAAGATATCTTCTTCTCAGAAAATATTTTATTAAAAAAATCAGAAAGGTCAAAAGAGGACAAAGAATACCTGGCGAATTCAAGCTGAACTCAGTTGCTCATTGGCAAATGACGTCCCGAACTCAGTTGCGCGCATGTGTGCCTATATATATATCCCGAATTCAATTGTTTGGAAAACGAATTAAGCATTCAACATTTTAACTTAAGTGGATGAAAAGAAATATCCAGGCCCAGAGTAGATTTTAGGGCCATAGAAAACGAGAAAACCGATTTGACAGAATTTTATTTATCTCAATTATGCAGAATTTAAATATAAAAGATATTATTTTATAAATTATTTTATATTTTTTATCTATGTTTTTCTAAAGTAGGTAAATATAGTTTCCAAATCAATAACAGATGAAAAATAAGTTAAAATAATCTTTAACTAAATTTCTAGAAAAATAATTTATTCACTTAATGTAGGAAATAATATTTATCATTATTTCAATTTTAAATAGTAGAGAGTATATTTTTGTACTTAAGAATTTAACTCTACTACATTGAATATATTAGAATTTTATAATTTACATATATAAAGTACGTATATAAATAAAAAGTCACACATTAAAAAACAATAAATTACAAATTTGTAAATTACTAAAAATAAATAAATTGTTTTTCTCAAGTGAATTATATAAAATGCGTGCGTGGATTTTAGAACTCATGGCGACAATAGGGGGAAGAAGGATAATCTTCAACCACACAGCCTACAGCCATTGAAATGAAAGGCCCAGTGAGCAAGAACCAGACGATGTCATGATTCACGCTGCAAAAAGCCCATTGACAACTGCGTTTCTTCTCCTAACCCTAGCAATAATTCCTCTTTCATTTGTCTCCTACATAATCCTTGGGCTTCGAGGGATCGACGTGTGGGCTCGAACTCGGACGAACACTGAACACATGCAAAGCTCCGCGATATTCTCACCTGCTGCAAGGCCTGTGTTGGCTCCTGCTCGCGTCAAGTCTCTCTTCAGTCGCGCAACTCCCGGCAGCACCACCACTGATCATTCCTCCGGTTCCATGGCTGCAACCGGCCCCAAGTGGGCTCAGAAGACCATAACCTTGCCTCCTCATCGCCGAGGCTGTCATCTTATTACTCCAAAGGTTTCATAACCCTCATTTTCATTATCTCCTATGTTATTTTATTTTTCATCTGGAGATTACTATAAATTTAGCAGCAGTAGAGTTAATGATCGTTCTGTCTCCTTTAAGTATGCGAACTTCTCATGGACATGTTAGATTTTGAGTTGATTTGGAATTGTTTCGTAAATCATTTTCTATGTTAGTATTTCGTTATTTATGATAAGGTTTATGAAGAGGGACTGCTAAGTTCTCATTGCTCACCATAGTAACTGTAAACTATGCAACCAGCTGGATTGTTTATGTAAAATTTTCCATTAACATCATCTCATAGCACCCTTATTGAATAACATCTTACCAACCTATAAACTATGGCAGATGCGTTAAAAGGATTTTTCTTTTTTTTTGTATCTCAAAATGGCTTTATTTTTGTTTATTTTGTTTCGTTTTCAATCAGATAATGAAAGAAATTGGACAAGATTTATCCGAATTCAAGTGTGGTCTGGCCCATCTGTTCTGTAAGTTAAATTTAAAGCCATATATTCTCTTCCTTCTGATTTCACCCTTGGATTTCTGGAATAAATGTTGAAACATAAATTAATGTTCCAGTGCATCATACAAGTGCTTCTCTTACCATCAATGAGAATTATGATTCCGATGTCCGAGGATGACACTGAGACATTCCTCAACAAGATAGTTCCCGAGATGAATACGCAGTTATTACCTATATAATCTAATAGTTTTGATTCATCAACAGCTGTCTTTTAGTGATGGATGTAATGGGTGCTTGGATATTTAATCCTTTTCAGGGAAGATCTGCACCCTGGAAGCATACACTTGAAGGTTAGTATGGATTTTTCTGTATTTTCAATTAGACTGAATATTTCCTTATTCTTTTAGATATATCATAAATTGTTTTGCCAAATTACTTTGAATTGGTCCAGATAAACTAGATGCAAGGATGAAATTGCATCCTAACTGAAGAATAAGTTGTGGTTAAAACTCTAACTTTATGCAATAGTTATTAAATCAAATTATTGGGATTAAAACTTTATGGCATAAGCTTTTTTTTTTTTAGTAAATTGCAGAATGAATAGATTATGGGATAGCCAGACCATTTTCTTTTTCGGCCAGGATTTTTCAATGTGAATCCAGGAGATGCGAAATTTAGAACCATGTATGTGATTGAAGAGAAGAGGTTCAAAACTATAGGTTTGTTAGATTTGGTGTAGGAATAAAAGGATAGAGGGAAAGGTCAAAAACAGGTTATATTGACCCAATTGCACGAACAATTTTCTTCCCCTTTGAATGGTATTGTTTTGATACGACATTCTTCCATAGTCTCTTAGGAAGCTTGCATTTGGATTTCATTGGTTTTGGTTTGAGAAAAAAGTTGAAGAAAATGAAGAAACTTCAGTCAGGTTGAATTTGATCATAAAACTTGACCAATTAAGCATTTTCATGATCACCTTTATTTTCTGTTAGTTGAACTAACCTGTAGTTAGTCGACTAGGCCAGTGTGTGAGGTATACAGTGGGAGGGAAAAACACATTTTTTAAAATTAATATTTATCTGCAATTGGAACTAAAACTTGAGGCCCTTTGTGTGATTTGTTTCTTAGTTTTTTATTATGAGGAGTTCAATGAGATGAAATAAGTCGGACATGCAGATTATCTGCAAACTAGAACTAAAGTTGAGAAGCGTCGTAGGTGCTCTTTCTCCAGCAGTCCCACCATAACCAGACATCATTAGTATCAGATCAATCATTTTCATGCTTGGCAAATTTGCGAAGGGGTATAATTGTGGCAATGCTTCTGCTCAACTGCTTCCAACCATTTCAGAGCCTCTTATTAGGCCTTTTTATTTCCAGGACGTTTGAGAATCTAATCGTTTAATACAATTTGATTTCTCAAAAGTTGCGTAAGATATGATCCTTATTGTGTATATAATTAACTGGTTTCAAACTATGAACATTCTTTGTTTTTGTTGTCCTTTGATAAATAAATTAACTCAATTCTCTTTACTTTTATTCTGTTAATAATCATTTGAACACAAATCATAAAGCGGCATGTGGTCAATCCCAGCAGACGAATGTTTTGAAGAACTTTTCAATTCCATAAAGAGTTGAACAAGACGAAATAAGTTGGAACCACAAATTGAGCAACTTTTTTGTATCATAATTGGGTTGCTGTATTCATGGGAGATGATCTGGCAACCATTTTTTTGTTCTTATCAAAATTTATTTTCCTCCTTTTTTTATCATTAAAGTAATTTGATTATAGTTTCGACAAAGTATTTTCCATTCTCTTTTTTTCCTTTTGTAAATTTGCTGTTGCTTCCGTGGTGACTTTTCTTTCTCTTCAGGTCCTGATGACATGCCAGCCCATATTAAATCATCAATGTTTGGCTGTTCATTGACGTGAGTATATCCTGCATGGTTGAAACTGGTTGATTTACCAAAAAGTTTTATCATCCTTCTGCGATTTATCTAACTTCATTCTTGTGCAGGATTCCAATAACAAACGGACAACTTAATATGGGAACTTGGCAGGTACATGTTTTTACCTTTCAAGAATACTTTCTTTTGGTGCCAGATAATTCTTGTGAACAAAATTTCCTGAAGAATATAGAACTACCAAAATTTCCCGAAGAATGATTTTGGAAGTTTTCACACTTATGAACCCGATTAAAAAGGAAAAGAACCATGTAATCCATGAAGTTCAGGGAAGTGATTAGAGACTGTAAATCCATCAGATATGCAAGATAATAGCCAAGTCATTTGGACAAGAGCTTCATAAATGCATTACTTTTTTTTTTTTATTAAGTAAATACCTCAGACATGCTTGTTATGTGCGAGCAAAATTGAAATTATAGACAGTCAACAATATAAACTATTGGGCTCTAGATAACGTGCGAGGATACTCCAAATATCTTTTCCATCTAAAATTAGAACATAGCTAGAGGGCCAGGTAATGCGTTTGGTAACAATAGAGCAGTACTGTGAGCATGGTTGACCAAGGATAATGTATACTGTTTTCTTAATTTGCTATTTCCTTGATTTTGTTATCTGTTGGAACATTTGCTACAGGGGATTTGGCTATGTGAGCATCGTGATGCACCGACTCCCCGAAAAGTTGTTGTCACCCTTAATGGGATCTAGGTTGCTGATTTGAGAAGAAATTGGGGAGCTATTATTATGTTTGTCTTTTGTAATTTCGGTGATATATTGTTGAGTCGTGATAGTTTTGTAAGGTTTTTACTTGTTAATACCTTCTTTCCTGGGTTCTATTATAAAGGAACTTCTTTCTTGGTGCTTGTTAATATGCTTTTAATGTTATGAAACTGCTGCTGTGACACCGAAGAGCATGAAGTTCTATCATTACTAGTTTGGCTGAGGTGGTTTTTCTCTTTAATTTCAATGTGTATCTTATTTAATATTTATGCAATTTATATATGTTCGGCGTCGGAGTTACTTTATGGAAATTCTGTACTTATTTCTGAAAAAGAAAAGAAATTGAATTCCCATTCTAAAATAAGTAAAGGTGGAGGTGGAGAAATCGGCCATGGAGCTCGACTGGCCCGATCTACGGAGCGTCCTCTTCAAACTGGTGGCCGTTACGCAATCATTCCCCTCCATAACAGACATCCCAAACACCTCCTTCGGCTCACTCTTGGTATCCTCCACGCTCCTGCCCTCTCCCTCCACCAGATCCTGGAACTAATTCGAGTCCAAAAAAACCGTCTTCGTCCAAATCAGAGAATCTGACTGCCTCTTCCTCCTCCACCGACGACTCGCTTCCCACCATTCTTATACATCTACGCAACTCCGCTGTCGAGATCTTCTCATCCCCATTCTCGTCCATGTAATTGAAGACTATCTCTAATTGCCTGCTGCTACTGCTAGTGTTTGCTGCATCCTCCGAATCAACCGCAGGAAGAAATCGCTTATTCACCGTCTTTATCTTCGGAGACAGTAATTTTCTCAGCAGTTTTCCCAAAGATATACTCTCTGCTCCCTCGAATTTCATCATCGTCCGTCATTTACTCAGAAAATTATCGCCCTCAATTGCAATTGATACGCGAGAGAATAAAGCAAATCTCAACGACTGCAAGTGGTCAGTATATATGCACTCAGCTTAAGATCTATCCAGAAGGTCTCAAGTCTAACGGCGGTGTAATAACACACATATATATATACATATATAGTCTGCCTGCCAATTCAGAAAGAACAGTTTTGCTATTGTGATTATAAAAATTAAAAATATAATCCTAGGCGGATAGGTTAGGGTGGAACAAACGTGGAATGGAAGAGGCATACATATCCAGGGCAGAGAACACGACTTCGAAGTATGTCGGCTACTATTTTTAAAAACTATTTTACGGCAAATTAGAATTTTAAAAACTATTGTTGTTTATATTCGAATTAATTACATTCACTCACATTATTTTTTTAGCTTAATATCAATTTTGATCTATGATTTTAATTTGTGCTTTTTTAAAAAAATAAAATAAGGATCAATTGTTTATTTTTATTTTCAATTAAATTTTTCTGTTGATAATTTTATAAACTAATTTCATTACAAAAGATTATTAGGTGGCCAACCACAACTAGGATTAATTAAAGAAAATTAGGTCCTACTTAATACACGAGAATATTTATAATTTAGATTTTTAAATTCATGTACATTTTTTTTTTTTTTGGGTCATGAAAATGTGTAAAAATTGTTTATCTATAGAAAATTGAAACATAAATAAATTTACTTTCTAAAAAAAAAAATACTTTAAAAATGTTCTAATTTCACTAAGATATTGGAAGTTTGGTGTAACACCTTTATATATATTGTAACGTAAAAGCCACTTTTATAAATGTACATTATTTATGTTTTTATGTTAAGCACACTTTGCCTCAAATATCTCATGGATTTTTTTGTGTGCCGAGGGCAAACTCCGTGAATAAAAAAATTTTATGATAAATTAGTTTCGATTTAGTGATTTAATTTGTTTAAAATAAACTAACGGATTTCTTTTATGATAATTACTATCTTAAAATTTTATAATCAAATAAACATAATGTATAAAAATATGTTTTTTCTCTTTAAAAAAATGCGATTATTTAACGAGAAAAATTATCAGATTATCCTTTAGATAATATTAAAATTTTATAAATTATTAAGAACGGCTTAAGACTCGTTCTTAATCGTTGGAGTAATATGGTCGTCTGTTTTTAGAAAAATTAAACTTTAAGGTTATGATTATTAACTATAATATAAAACATAAAATATGTAAATTTATTATTTAAAAAAAAAAAAAAAAGAACAAGTTAACAGGCAAGTTACAGGCGTTAAAACTATAATTTTCAAATGGTTGAAGCAGTGCAGGAGGAGTATTCAAATATCTTCTATGTTCTTTTTAAAAATTGTCTGCGCGGTTGGCTGAGATATTGGGTTATGCAATAAGTAACTGTAAATAGACTTTCTTATTTTGAAAAATGGTTGATCAATTTTTTATTAAGAAAATAGAAGATGAATAATCGGTTGCAGACGTGACGGCCAAGTTGATGTCAAGAACTGAAATTGACGATTCTAAGCGCCGGGCGCTCAAGTTTGATCGACTAACTAGGCAGAAATTTCGTTTAAATTCCAGCTTTTATTTTCCTTAATTAATTTACAGTAACAAAAAAAATGAAAGAATAAAGAAGAAAATATACACAGAACCAGAAACAAAAAGAAATCCGTAAGAGAAAATTAGGGATGAATTATTAGTGCATCATGAGAGCGAACTCGTCAAAGCTAAGGACACCATCGCCATTGAGATCGAAAGCACGAATCATTGCCTTGCAATCATCGATGGAGCTGGACTGGCCCAATCGACGGAGCATCCTCTTCAAACTGGTGGCCGTTATACAATCATTCCCCTCCACAACGTACATCTCAAACGCCTCCTTCAGCTCACTCTTCTTATCCTCCACGCTCCTGCCTTCTCCCTCCATCAGTTTATGGAACTCATTCAAGTCCAAGAAACCGTCTCCGTCCAAATCAGAGAATCTGACTGCCGCTTCCGCCTCCTCCGCCGACAACTCACCGCCCACCATTTTCACACAATTCCGCAGTTCCGCTGCCGATATCTTCCCATCCCCGTTCTCGTCCATATAATTGAAGACAACCTCCAATTGACTACCACTGCTGCTGCTACTACTTGCCACATCCTCAGAATCAACCGCGGAAGGAAGAAATCTTTTCCGTTCCACTTGTCCCTTCGGAGACAGTAATTTTCTCCAAAATCTTCCGAGAGAATTCCTCTCGTCTCCCTCGGATTTCATCATTGTGTTCATTGAATCAGAATACGATCACTCTGAAGTGTGAGAAAACAAAAAGGAAAACTGAAACAATAGTTCGTAAATCTCTGTAGAGAAACTCTCAAGTTGAAATGTCGGATGATGGAGCCAAAAGGTATGGTAAGGGTATATATAGTTTCCTCGTTTTGTCAACCGTCAAGGAAAATATATTTTAATCTGATGATAAGTTGAAAAACTTTTCTGCACAGGAGGAGAACACGGTTTTGCCAGACAATTTTATAGTAAAGGTAGAGATGAAGTAGGCCGCCAGTTGTATTTAGGGTTGCAAAAGGCGGTTGTGCGGCGGGTGGGAGGAAATTTCCCACGAGAAAAATCTCTCTCATTCTTTTCTCTAATGCCGGTTGCCGGTTGCCGGTTGCCGGTCATCTTATCTTTCATTTCGCTATACATTACCAAACAAACAACATGGCAGGGGTGACGGTGGTCCCCACTAACCAGAAAGAAAGAATTACAGACGTGGAAGCACCATCATCATTTATCATCTCATCAACCATGATCATCATCGATCTCCATTGACTTTTATTTTTTTAAATAATTAAAAAATTAAATACTTCACTAATTTTTTTCTTTTAAGAAAACGATAAACGCATCATTCTTCTCACTTCCGTACCCTCAACACACTTAAAACCGTGATTCAATAACTCATACAAAAAAAGAAACTATTTATGTAATTCATTTATTACGTCATAATTAATTAGTTGATATAATATCCGAATTAGTAAATTTTTGATGTGGGTTTTTATCGGATTAGTAGTTAAAGTTCCAGAAAATAACGGTCAAAAACTGACACGTGAAAACGCGTGTGAATTAAAGAGTTCCCTCTCCTCTCACTGAGTAGAAAGGGCGTGCAGTGTGTGTTTGACCAAAACGGCTGACTTTCTTCCCATTCGCAAAATTCAAGTCTGTGTTTGATAGAATTGTGTTTTTCAACTTGATCAACGGCCAATACTCAAAAGAGGAAGGACAGAAGAAAGTGTGAAAACATCGTCACACCTGAACTCATGCTGCACCCGCATGATAAACACCGCTCACATTTTACACACGCACATATAATTCTATACAACTAAAACCTGCCAAACTCATGGTTCACAATTTTTTTTTATATAATTTAACCAAAATCTTCATATTTATTCATAATGTTATAATTATATTTTAAGATTGCAACTATAATACTGCGAAATACATTCTGTATATTTTTATTCAATAGTAGTTATTATTATTATCTATGTTGCTTTGCTATTAGTTACATCAGAATAACTTAACACATTGAACTAAATCATTATGGACAAAAAAAGTGTGCAAGCATAATAAAAATTGACAAAGTTCATATGATTATATGATTTTAAGTTCAATAGCAAGTGAACGACTGAATGAACTAAATATGAAAACAATAAGACAGAGAAGAATCTTACAACTGCAATTATTTCGAAGTTTGAGGATTTGCCAATAAAATTGAAGCAAGTTTGTTGTATTGAGGAGTCTACAATATGGAGAAAGAGCGAATTCATCTATAGCAATGCGGAGTGCAAGAACAACGATGCAGCGAGGAAAATGAATTGAGAAAGTGATTATATTTTATAAGAGAGTAAAATGAAGAAGACGAGAACTCAATAACGATGATTTATGTGAGCCTAAGGGAGGGAGTAATATTTCGCATTGGCTTGTTTTTTATTTTTATGAAAATCAAAATTTGTCTTTTTGAAGCTTTTCATTTGAAAATTATTTTGAACTATGTAAAAAAACTTAACCGGGCAAGCTAGAGAGCATTTAATGCTCATTAATTTTCTGTTGTGTGTTTATTGAATGGAACCTTGGGAATATATATACATACAGAGAAAAATGAAAAGAGGATGAGGGTGGTCTCTAGAAACGTCAGAGACCATCAGCTGTCCTCAACCTTTAAAAAGAAAAGGAAAATATAGACCCTTCATAGGCTTTGATCTGGGCGGTCCACTTGTCCATTTCTTTCAGCCTTCTTATTTTTTCCTTAATTCTTTTCACCCGCTCCTCAAGATGAAGTCAGTTTGCTTTCAACTCTTTGAGTTTCTCACTATCTCTTCTTTGACTCTTTGGACTTTCTTGTTGCAGATGCTTCATCTTGAACAAAAGTCGGTGATGTGCTGAAGTTCCTAAAGGTTTTGTGAGCAGATCGACGAGTTGTTCCCACGAGGTGACATACTTCGTTTCGACGAAGCCCTTTTGAACCTGGTTGCGAACTATGTGGCAGTCAATGTCAAGGTGTTTTGTTCGTTCGTGAAAAATCGAATTTGCTACGATATGTTCGGCAGCTTTATTGTTACAGTTCAATATTACGGGTAAGTGGGGTATTATTTGAAAGTCTCGAAGCAGATAGGTTATCCACTGAACTTCACATAGTGTGGATGACATACTTCTGTACTCAGCCTCTGCGGAAAACTTGCTCACCGTAGTTTGTTTCTTTGTTTTCCAGGAGATTAGTGCAGGCTCGAGGAAGATGCAGAAGCCCATGAGTGATTTGCGGGTTATCGGACATGATGCCCAATCCGAATCACAAAAGGCTTGAACTTTAAAATCATTCTTTATTGGGAAAAAGATGTCTTGCTCCGGATATTGCTTTAGCTACCAACAACGTGTAGTGCGGCCGTCTGGGTTGTTGCATGAACTGACTGAGGTGTTGGGTGGAATGTGTTATGTCGGGTCTGGTGAAGTTGAGGTAAAGCAAGCGGCCGATTAAATGTTTATATCTCTCCGGATCTAGTAAGATTTCTCATTCTTCTATATTTAGTTTTAGTCCGGAAGGCAGGAGAAAGTGGTTTTCTTTTGCATCTTCCATCTTTGTATCTTATAGAATATCTCTGGTGTATTTTTTTGGCTGATGTAGATCCCTTTTTTTGACCTAGCTATCTCGACTTCGAGGAAAAATCTCACTTGGCCCGAGTCCTTGACTGTGAA